ATAATAATAATAATAATAATAATAATAATAATAATAATAATAATAATAATTCAGGGATATCATGTGATTTAAATGGCTCCTTTTGGTACTTGAAACAAGTTAAGCATAAAGACAACAATTTCCATGCACCTTTTCAATATCGTTAGACATACCTGGCTGGTATAGTGGTACCTCAGTTCACGAATGCCTCAGTTCACAACCAAATTTGGTTGCAAACAGAAATTTTGGCAAAATTTTGCCTCAGTTCACGAACTCCGCATTGGGTGACAACCACGATTGTGGCCATCTTCCCCGCACGAACACTCCAAACAATAACCTTCTCCCCACCCACCACAAGTGGGAGCCATGAGGGTGTGCTCACCTCGGTTGAGGCCTTCCCAGCTCCTCACCACCGCCCTGTTTCTGAGCTGAAGGAAGGTCCCCTTGCAGGCGCTCGCCTGGCTCCGGGAGGGGAAGCAGGAGCGGGAGGCCGGAGAGGCGTGTGTGGGGTGGCTCCCCTGGCCAGGGGAGGGCCGTGAGGAGGGAGGTAAGGGCTGCTTTCTGCGGGCCGAGGGGAGGTAAGGGACGGGGCCGTGGCTGGCCGAGCTGGGTACATTGGTGGTGGTGGCTTGCCCTGAGAAGGCTGCGGCAGAGGTGCGGGAGCTGTGGCCCCGCTCCCGCTTTGCCTCGGCCTGTCCGCCCCCGGTATTTATTTATTTAAAACCTTTATGCCGTCCTTTATGTATAACATAAAGTTATGGTTCAGAATGGATTAACCTTATTTACATTGAACCTTATGGGGGAATTTGACTTGGTTCGTGACCAAAATTGGTTCGCGACCATGTTTGTAGGGGTCAGAATGGATTAACCTTATTTACATTGAACCTTATGGGGAAATTTGACTTGGTTCATGACCAATTTGGGTTGCGACCAGAATCATGAAATGAATTAAGTTCGTGAACTGAGGTACCACTGTATATCAGTTGTCTTGCCCTAACCTTAGTCCTCTGAATATCGTGAGAGTCATGAAGCTGAGAGAGCGTACTCTGCCTTTGAGACACAACAGTAAGCTGCCTTTTCTCCCCTTTCTGTGATCTGCTTTATTCAGGTCATGAGCCTTAAGACATTGGTGCAACTTCCCATTATTCTGTTTCAGGGGTCCTCAAACTTTTTCAACAGGGGGCCAGTTGAAAGGTGTTGGTGGTGGGCGCAGGCTGGTGATGAGGTGTGGGACGTGCACGCAGCGAGGCAGGGCAAGGCGGGCGGCGTGGTGAGGCGGGGATGGGCACGCTTGGCAAAGCAGTGGCTTGTTCGCTTGGAGAACGTTTTCTCTGAGTGAGTCCAAAATTATCTCCGTGCGACCAAGCTGCTGCCTCACTGTGCAGGGTTACGGCCCGTGGGCCGTAGTTTGAAAACCCATGTTCTATTATGTAACAAGACTGTTCACCCAGTCAGTAGGACTCATAACTCTGGATTTTATTGTTGCACTCTCCCTGAAGGCCAAAGTATCCTTTCATCTGTCAGGTATCGCAAAAGGTACCTTCCGGCACCCATGAAAGGTGCTGTTGCATCAATAGGAATATTGTAAGGACTTTCAAACTCACCAAACCTTCATAAACTTAAGCATATATAGTAAATAGCAGTTCCTGAATTTCATGTCTCTGTATGTTTCCAACCTGATAAACCAAGTTCAGAGTCTAACAGGGTGCCCTATCCAATAATGTGAGAGAGGAACTATCTGTTACATAGGACAAAAGTCTGGCTTCTCTTCCTGGATTGTGGCATTCAAGAACAATAGTCCCAAAGACTGTATGTGTCCCTCCATAACCCACAAGGGTTGCATCACTTTCAGTTAATACCTTCTGGCCCAATAATATATGAAATATGTTAAGTGGCAAAACATTTGTCTGAACTCATGTCCATTTCACTGCAAGTGAAATTATATCTGTATACCATCCTGCCATTTGGCTTACAACTAAACATGTAGTTTCATGAGGTAATTCCCTATAAAAAACTGTTTAAATCAAACTTGTGTATCTTTCTGTTCCAAAAAGAGTATGGTTCAAACAACATGTCACTACCGGGAGTGCACTATGTCCTAAATCATAGGAGCGTTTCCTATCCTTTTGGAGAAACTGTTAGCTTTAAAGAAATTTAAAACATCAAAGAAGAAAACAGAAAGTCCTAAGATCAGCTCATATTATTTTAAGTTTATTACGCAAACTAGACTGTGCAGGACATGGACAGGAAATGCCAGTAAACTAATTTGGTTTGATTACTCATTTTTAAAAGTTTATTGGACCTAAGTTGTGATTTCTGTTTAGGTCAGATTTGGCTTGCTAATAATCTGATCTTGGTGTCTGGGAACATTACAAATTAAATTAAGAATTATTTTATGGGTTGAACATTTTTTGAAATATGATGGAAAGAATGATGGCAAGCATGTACAGAATGATACAGCATGATATACTAGCACATCTTCTGAATGTCTGTTCAGTTATTATAAGCATGAATAGGTGCATAACACTGGAATAATTCATTTTTTTAATTAATGGTTTAATATTTCTTTCTGTCCAGCTCTCTGGAACATTAGTTTATGACTCTTCATCTACCACAGAATCATCTCCCAGGGAAAGAAGATTTCACAGCAGAGTTTGTGAATTGTCCAGTAAGCTCCCTATTATTTATATTTATTTACTTTTACATTACTCTCAAACTGAGACTTTTGTATAGGATGGGATAAAACTGCTTTGAAGAATAAACAAACAAACAAATACACTTTAGCTCCATTTGAAAAGTTGTACTCTTATTATGCAAAACAAAAGTAATATTTGCAGATGTTACAGTGCCCAGGACCCAGGAACTTCAACCTACCTGTAATTGAGGAAAGGACTTTCTAGAACCTAGGAATCTGTTCATTCACGGGTTTTTAAATGTTGGGTATCATACTTCAATTGTCACTTCCAGTGGGAAGATACGCTAGTGCATGAATATTACAAATACCAATCCAGATTCCAACTTGAAATGTTTGAATAGCCTTAAGTAATAGAGGCAAGCAACAACAGGTCAGAAATTGAAGTTGTAATTCTGTGGTAGCTGAACCTGTTCATACTCTTAGGTTTCACATGAAATGCCACTGTAATGTAAGTTCAAAATATCCTGCAATTATGAGAAAAAATAGTTGCATGAATCCAGGCTAATCTAGCCCTGTATGTGTACATGGGTAGAATTATGAAATGTTAGATTCTAGGGTTTTAAAATAACAACGGCAGTCCCAGTCCTACAAAATTAAAATGGCAATAGATGTGAAGTGCAAGTTAAGGCTTACAAAAACCAGACTTGCTTACTTGCATCTGAAATACTTTTTCCCTCCAAAACAGAATAAAAAATTCTTAACATTGATGGATCTGGGAGGGGACCATTCTCTCTTCCTCTGTAGGCCCTTTTGCATTTTCAGGATCTGTCCTGGAGGGCTGGAAGCCCTGGGAGAAACTTAGAGGGGGTGAGGGAGAGAGAGTAGATGGTCACAAAAGTGCTGCTGTGTGGACAGACTTCTGCTCATGCAGTGCTGTGGCTCACTAGGTCCAACCATAGTATTTCTATTAAAATTCTCCAGAGCTGGCTTCATCAACTGGGCACCTGTAGAAGCAGGTGTTGGCCAAAAGCAGTACTTAAAAAATCAATAAAATGAATGTTTATAACTGGAGATTAGATGGGAAAGATCCTTTGAAAGTCAGTTGGCTATGCATTACCGTTCTCTAAGTCTCTAAGTCTGCTGGCATATCCCTTGCCAGCTAGTTAATGATAGATGCCAGAAATTGAAAAATGCAGCTAATGAATGTTCTTGTTTCAGCTTATTAGCAAGTTATTAACCTATATTCAATCACTGGCTGATATTATTTAGCAAAATTGCAATTAATGGAAACAGAACTTTCTCAAGAACTCTTAGTAAGAACTCAGATCCTACTCATCTTTGTGACCTAATTTGGACAATTAAACAACTCACTGTTTGCTGTGGCTTATTCTTGGATTAGCTTGTTACAACTCTAAGTGCTCTTGTTTGGAAGTCACAAAAACAACCACTAAGGCAGCATTCAAGGTTTGTTCCTCTTAACAGGAAGCAATTTAGGTGCTGCTCGGGCATGTGTCTCCCATGTACACATTAGTGTGTCCCCCATGTACATGGTGTGTCCCCCATGTACACATTAGTGTGTGTAACCAGTGACTCATTGGTTAATAGCCCATGTCTTGCTTCCAGATGAGTTTGTTATGTCAGAATAGAACTATTATCTCTCATCAGGGATAGTCTTAAAAAGCAGATTGATTGGCTAGCTAAATTATGTTAGAAGAAATGGTATAGAATTAATTTTAGCAACGCTAAATCAGTCGCACTTGGGAAGTTACTTCCTGTATTAAAATGGTCAATTTCTAATACTTCCATGCAGCAGGTTAAATGTTAGTTATCTAGGGGTGATTTTTGTAGCCAGTTCTTCATGGAACTCCTAGCAGGATGCTCTTGTTAAAGCAAGGCATATTTGAGGACCCATCTTTTGAAGTTCCTTTATACCAAGGGTGGACAACTGGACGTCCTGACTCTTCAAATGTGTTTGTTTAAGGTTGTTCTTTCTGTGTTATATGGTGCAGAGCTTTGGGACTTTAGTTGATCAATAGTTCAGGAACTGGAGAAGATGCAGAAGTATTTTCTAAAGAAAGTACTGGCTTTACCTGTTGGCACTCCTGCCTGCAGAAGTGAGTTGGTCTTCTATTTCAGCTAGATTCAAGTGTAGCATTACAGATTGTTATTGTTCATATTTCACAATTTCACTTTTCATGGATCTCCCTTAGATTCTCAAAGAAGAGTAACTCTAATAGAAACACTTGCTAAAGGTCTTAATTTTCACCTGAGATGTAGCTAACATCTGAGTTAAGGCATTTCATGTTGGGAAAAGACTTTCTGAAAACAGGTTAATTAGCCAGTCTTCTATATTGCATACATGTATCAAGTTAGATCATCATGAAAACCAATTATTTGGATTTTATTACTTTAGCTTCACAAGGGAATACTTTTACAGCTACTTAATATTTAATATTATGCCTTTAGCTTTCTTAGAAGGCTTTGATAAGAAAGTACCACTGGAAAAAAAGATGCCCAACAATCTGTGAAACAGAAATGGAATAGATTTGACAAAATCCATACTTACCTACTAGTTGGTAATGAAACAGATGCGTGACTTCTAATCAAAGAAGTGGATAATTGCAAATTCATTTTACATTTTAAAAAAACCATGCCTGGTTGCTTGTACTTAAACATGTCTTGCCAACAGTGCAGGGTTTTATCACAGATAAATCACTATTGAAATGTGCAATTACCTGACCAATGACTTTCATTTTACTCAGAGCAGTAAATCTCTCCTTGGTAGCTCCTGGATATGTATCAGATGAATACATGTATTATAATTATTTTTCTGACATGTTCCCTAGCAGTCCATCAGATTGAAAGGTGTGTTGTCTGAATTTGTGTATACCTGCAAATTGGTGGTCTTGCTCAATATCCCGTGGTGCTTTCCATTGACAAGTTGGAATTTGGACTCCAGACACTGCGCACCACTTGTCTAGATGGAGTTTTGCCTTGTCAGGATCCTTACATGCTCCTCTGTTCTCTCTTCGACAGCTGAAATGTAAACAGCAGTTGACCAGGCTAGACTACACATATTTGACAGCCATAAGAGCATAATTATGCACTTATGAAGTCCTGAATAGCAGCAGCAGCAGCAAACACATTGCTGCAGTTTTCTTGAACTGAAAAAGGGGTAGTGTTCCAAAGTGCCACTTGGACATTGGTGTGTAGCACTTGCTGGTGTTAGCAACAACACAATTGCAAAGAGCAGCAGGGGTTTTTGTCTGTCTTGCCAACAGCTCACTAGCTGGTTCTTGCAACCCAGTGAAATTGCTCTGCCAGGTTTGGATAGTGGGCTGAACCCTTAGAATGAGCTATGAATAGTCAGGGTGACTTGTTCCCAAAGAAGCCATCCTTTGGGAACCAGACTGGATTTAAGACAACACAATTTATTTATTTTATTATTATATTGACAATGACACACCATGGCTAGTTATCCACAATGGACATCATACTGTGCAAACCACGTTGTTATCTACTTTTACATGTTCATCCAATTTGATATACAGGTGAGTTGTAAGTAAGTTATTATGTACTCTTTTTGACTTCAGATTCATTGACATGCTTTAATGGGGGAGAATGTGTGCATTGGCAGTTGTGTGATTGTAGTCGATATAATGCAACTGGATCAAGATGTCAGTTAGGTGAGTATAAAATATACTTGTACGGTATACACTGTTAGTTGTGTGAACCAAGACTCAAAGCTAGGCTTATAGACCTACTCAAAGATTTATTTTCAGAACCGTAATCAATTGTAGTTTGAGACTCTTGAAGCGTATTCAGAAGTAGTAGACGTAAGCAGTTTCTGAATAACCAGAGGTGTTACGTTGCATAAACTTAGGAAAATATTCCTTCCTCCTTTAAAATGAATGCTTACTGACATCACTTGCTGCAGAATTAACATAGGTATAACCAAGAGATACTGCTTCTGAATTGAACTGTCTCTCCCCCACCCCCCTTTTTTTGCTGCAGTATACAATACAGGTGCAGAACGAGACAATATTTGCCGAACATGGGGACAATATCATTATGAAACTTTTGATGGTCTCTATTACTTTTTCTCTGGGAAATCAACATATGTTCTTGTCAGGCAGAATGAATTAGATGAACAGAGCTTCTCTATCCATGTAAGATAATTTTAAATTTTGTTTGAAATAAGTCTAATTCACAATTACTGTATTTCATACTTTAAAAAAAAAACGTTGTGAGATAGTGTAACATCATGCTTGGCTGGAATTTAGAGATACTCATGAATACAAGTAAAGTCTTCTGTGTGAATGAGAGTGAAGAGTGACATTTTTTCTTACCTGTAGTAATGTCTTATGCATCATGAAATGTGGCCATGAAGGGTTTCCTGAACTTTGGCAGTAGCTGTTTTGTGGCGAGAAGGTGGTTACAGTAGGAGAATGGCTAAAAGCTTGCCTTGTGTTCATGGTCTTCTCAACCTTGGCTCATGAAGATGTAGAAGATGACAGTCATGACATTGATATTCCACTTTGCGTGGTAGGGTAGACTGAGAATCAGCACCTGGCCCAAAGTCAGCCAGTGAACTCTATGAACCAGTAGAATTTTGTTCCTGGATTTCCCAGTCCAACACTCTAACCCACCATGCTGCTCTGTGGTTGTAAAGCATATGGATAAATATCCTGACAATCAAAATATTCCAAACTTCACCTATACATAATATGTCCTGACTTTATATGTGCTACCTAATTTGGTTACAAGGTAGAAAACAATTCAGCATAACAATTCAGATATAGAAACTGACCAAGCTACCCATTCATGAAAACTACAGTTTCAAAGTAATTTTTAGTCCTGTCTCCACAGCACTATGTGAAATGCTGAAAATATAATCAAAATACTTTTTGTTTTTTGACAGGTCCATAATGATCCAGAATGCAAGTCTTCTCCATATTCCTGTAAAAGATCTGTTAGTCTATACTTTTCTGGAGATGGAGAAATCAGATTAAGCAGTGAGGTCACTTACAAAGGAATTGGGTAAATTAAATGTATATATTCATTGTATGTGGAGTTGCCTTGTTATATTAGTATATATAGATGTGAATATACATATTAGTTTCTGAATACCTGCTGGCTATTTTGCTGCTGATGATAAATAAACAGAATGGACCAGACAAAGGACAAATGCACAAAGGAAATGCAAGCAGACAATAAAAGAAACACAGAAGGAGCTTGAGGAACATTTTGTTAACAACATCAAGGCCAACAATAAAGAATGCTTTACTTGTATTACAAGGAAGAAATCAACTAAAGAAGCAGTTGAGCCATTGGATAATAATGGAATTAAAGGTGCACTCAAGGAGAACAAGAAAATTGCAGAAAAGCTAAACGATATTTTTCCATCAATCTTCACAGCAGAGGATGCAGAACAGATAACTGTTCCTGAACTTACACATTCTATAAGGGATTTGGAGAAACTATGGCAGATAGTAGTGACAAAAGATGAAATTCTCAGCTTTATTGTCAAACTAAAAGTCAGTGAATCACCTTGCCCTGATGGAATTTACTCAAATACGAAATTGATGACATTCTTACCAAAATACTTAATACGTCCCTAAAATCAGCCTTTGTACCAGAGGATTGGAAAATGGCCAATTTAACACCAATTTTTAAAAGGGATCCAGAGAATTACAGGCAAATTAGCTTAAGATCTTTTCTGGGTAAATTGCTATAAAGCTCTATTGAAAAAGAATGTGTGTGGCTTCTACAAGAGGAAGTCCTGCCTCACTTACCTATTAGATTTTTCTGAGTGTCAATAAGCAAGTGGACAGAGGTGATCTGGTGCCTCTTGCTTACTTAGACTTCCAAAAGACTTTTGGCAAAGTCTCTTACTAAAGACTCTTGAGCAAATTTAGCAGGCATAGAATAAAAGAGGGGTTATCTTATGGATCACTAACTGGTGAAAGTACAAAAGACATGGATCTGTCCAAGCTGGAGCAAGCATACAGTTATGTATATTGGGGCAACAAACTGAAAACAACTTTAAGTTGATGCGATCTGAACTAGCAGTGACTGAGCAAGAAAGAGATCTTGGGTTGGTAGTGAACAGCTCAATGAAAATGTTCACCGAGTGTGCAGCTGCTGTGAAAAAGGCAAGCTTCATGTTAGGCATAATTAGGAAGAGGGTAGAAAGTAGAATTGCCAAGATCTTACTCCCCTCATACAAATATTTGGTATGACTACACCTGATTGCCTTACCTGAATAAGCAAGGACATTATTGAGTTGGAAATAATACAGAGGAGGGCAACACAAAAGATCAAGGGGCTGGAGCAACTCCCCTGTGGGACTGTTTAAAAAAAGGGGTGCATATGGGGAGACATAATAGAAATGTTTAAACTTATGCAGAGTGTAGAGGAAGCAGAGAGGGAGACATTTCTTTCTGTTTTCCATAACACTCAAACCCAGGGTCATCCCATGAAGCTGATTGGTGGGAGGTTTAGACAGATAAAAAGAAGTACTTCTTCACACAGTGTATAGTTGTGAATACACTGGAAGGGGGAGTGAATCTGTACGGTCGGAATTGGACAAAGTCATGGAGGAGGATGCTATCAGTGCCTACTAGCTTTGTTGTCTATGTGCTTCCCCCTTTACTGGAGGCAGCATGCCTGCATACACCAGTTGCTGAGCAGTTTGGGCAGGTGGAGGTACATGATTGAGGGACCATCAAGCTGGTTTGCCACTTTGTGAATGGAGTATTTGCAGTATCCATGCTGATCCAGCATGGATTTTCTTATATTCTTATGTTCTAATAATCCCTACAGACATACTGGGGGAGGAGGTAAAATAGTACTTACTAGCATTCCTATTTATCCTTTAGTTGTGGGTGAGGGAAGCATTCTTGGTTGTGGAGTAATTGAAAGATTGTTTTCCATATCAGAGATTTGGCTTGTTTTAGTGTTCCAGTAGGTGTTCTTACCATATTAAAATGTTCAGGTGCCGGGAATCATACATGAGAAGCTAAGTCCTAGGGTTTCTCAAGGGAACAAGTGGGCAGATCCAAAGCTGCCTCCCCTCTGTTTTCGCTCTTGTTCGCTCTTGGAACACCCCATTTTGGAGTCTCTTGTCCCACGAGAAATACTGTCAGTGGTAACTGTGCCCACAAAGGTCTCCATGGATATACTGGGTACTGCCAAAATGGACATGCTGGTGGATGGTCTTAGATAGCTGAATATAATAATTACTATTGTAAAATTTGAAAAAAAGATGTCAGTGAGCCATTCCTTAGTTGAAGACAGTTTTTGTTCTTTTGCTTCCCAGAATACCATTACCATACACCACAGGGAACTTGTACATCCAAAAGGTTGCTGGCTATGTCATTGTTAGACACCAGTATGCATTCTCTCTGGCTTGGGATGGTGCATCTGCTGTTTATATTAAGATGGCACCTGACTACTGGGGCAAAACTCATGGCTTGTGTGGTAACAACAATGCCATTCTGCAAGATGAACTGGCCACCAGTTATGGTGAGTGTTTATTATGACATAGCAACTGAAAATAAATTTGTAGTCTTCTGCAAGTACAGGTAGATGATGTAGCTGAAGGCTAACAAATACAGATATTGCTCTTGAGTAGTCTTCAGGTATTGAAAAGGTGGCTTCCAGTCTTCCTCTTTTATTTAAATTCTGTAGGAGTAGCAGATAACATTATTACTAGAGACTGCACATTCCAACTAGATGGACATATTATTCCAGTTACTCTGATGTTATTATTTTGTATCTTCAGAGTTTGATTCTGGATGTGATTGTGCAGGCTGTATGCTGCCTACTTTCTCAGGATATGTTGGATTTTTTTTTCCTATGAACTTGGTGTGTGGAATGACCATTTGTCATCCACATACTGGCCTTGCAATGTATAGCAAAACAGAAAGATACTTTCTGGGAATTGAGTTGTTTAATTTTTTTATGGCGATAAGAAAATTGAATACAGAAACAGGAATTTTAATCTTGCAAACAAAAGCTGGCTAGACAGAGTGCCCAAGTACTGTGTAATTATGCTGTATTCCAAGCTGGGATAGAATCCTGCCCAAGAACAGTGTAGCAATAATACAACGTCAGCTGAAAGAGCTGAGCTGAACCATACAGAGCTGATGCTGATAGAAAACAAATGAAAACCGAAATTGTAAATAATTTAAGTATCGTATTTTTTGCTCTATAAGACGCGCCTGACCATAAGACGCACCTAGTTTTTAGAGGAGGAAAACAAGAAAAAAAATATTCTGAATCAAATGGGCACATAATCACGGGCACATTCCCCATCACTTCCCCATGGGCTGCACATCTGACAGACTTACTGCACACATTCGCTCTATAAGATGCACAGACATTTCCCCTTTTGAGGGGGGAAAAGTGCATCTTATAGAGCAAAAAATACGGTAATTAGCAAAATACGACATGAATAGAATATTGCAAAAATAATAAAACCCATAACTTTAAAGTAAACACACTGTGCTGCAAAGTGAAACAGAGAATCCAAAAGCTAGCAGTAGGGTAGAGGTTCATTGAAAATTGATAGTGATGAGAAAAATTGTATTTCCTGCATTTCTGTATTTGTGCACTTTTCCATAGGAAAACTTACAGAAGACATTGAAGAGTTTGTAGAAAGTTGGAGAGAAAACTCTCCCCAAGAGAATATTTTCTCTTGGGATACCACATTTATCAACATACCACCTTGTCTGATGCAAACTCAAGGATTTTTACAGGTAGGCATACTGATTAATGTATGGGATTAACCTAAGACTGAACTTTGTGCCTTTACAAAGAATGGAGTTAAATTGGTTTCTTCTGTATGTGCTCAGGTTCATTTTCACATCTAAGTAACCAGCAGAAAAAAGCAGTATCAGTCTAGTTCAAGGGTAGCCAATCTTTAGTTTGAAACTGCAGCTCTCACTTTCTCTGACAATGCATTCTTTATGCTGGCTGGAATTTATGGGCATATAGTCCCAATCGTCTGGAAGGCACAAGGTTAGCTTCCCCTAGCCTAGTTACTGGGGAACCTGCCTCCCATATTTATGGTACTGACCTGTTGATGCATTTGGTACACTGTGGTACATTTTTGTTGTTAGTAGTGTGAGTTCTCAGTTCAGTGCCATGCAAGTAGACTGTTGCATGGGCAGCGTGACTTCTTACTGTAGGCTTAGGAGTATCCCTAATCCTGTCCTGGAGTGTTCCCTAACCCCCCAGGGCAGATTTTGGCAACAGAATGGGGTGCAGGAAAAGGAGAAAAGCATTTCACTGCAGCTTCTATTCTACTGATGGAAGGCCACCATTGGATCCAGCCCAGAGTCTGAGAAACTGCATTTGAGGAACACAGGCTGAGATTCTTGCCGAAACAATCACACTGACTCTGGGCTATATAAAAGGATGGCTTCAGATACTGTCAGATTTCTCCCAATTTCAAATTATTACCTGATGGGTGATTATTACCTCAAATTATGCGACCTGTGGTTTTTAGAAGAGGAATTAAGTTTAGCTGATGAAATATATCTCTAATCATGCTTCAGTTATTTTTTAATATCTTCTCTTATTTCATCTTTTAATGTTCTTTAGTGTTTGCTGATTTAACATTCAGAACTGGCTGCCAACAGATTCCTGTGATATTCAGTGCCAAAGTTCAATCAGATAATTCTTCTTCAGTTGTATTAAAATCTATGAAAGAGCTTTTGTCTTCATAGGCAACTGTCTCTACAACAACAAAGAGAAATCCTGTTATAATTTTGGCTACTCTGTTTCCATGTTGCATCTGAAAAGCTGTGTCCATCCAAATTTCCTTTTAGATTTCATGTATAGGGATGAACTAGTGCAAAGCGGAAAGAGGAGAATTGGTTTGCCATGGTCCCCAAAAGGAAAATGTGTGTTTTCTAGTTCATATAGAATGTCAAAATGCTGTTAAGCAACTATAATGTGAATGCATTATGTAGGTGTAGCATAAATATGTTTAATAGAAATCACACATTTTATTTTTGACTTTATGCTGTATTTTAAAGCATAAAACATTGGTAATTTATGCTCTTGTTAAAATATGAATACAGCATGGTCCCCCTTCAAATATTTTCTTCCTTTGCATATATTGACCAGGTTTACATGATCACAGATAAGCTATAGTACTGATTGCATGCTGTGGGGATTTGCCTACTAGGCAGTGTGGCTTGTTGTGTTATGCAAACCCAGCCAAGCTGGCTTGTTGCTGTGGGTAACTCAGAATACATGGGAGTTTAAGATACACCCCCATCATGCAACCTGCACATGTAGGAGGTAAGAAATAAGGCAGAATGGCTTAATTCCCTTCTGTGATCATACAAACTGGGCTGTTATGTCCCCTACTCCAGAAATCTGGCACAGAATGACATATAGCCTATGGCAGTGATGGCGAACCTTTTAGAGACCAAGACAGTGTTTCTGCGGTTCCAAGACAGTGTTTGGAACCGCAGACATTTGGTTCCAAAACAGTGTTTCTGCGGTTATTACTCAAAGACTGTTGAGTCAAAGCCCCAATATTGAACCATATCATACAATTGAGTTTCTATACTATTATTTTCATGTTCTTCTGAAGGCATTTAATCTATGTTAATTCCCTTCATTTGTTTCCAGAGAACACACACATTATGCAGCATGCTGCTCTGGCCCCCCTTCAGAGAATGTCATGAATTTGTGAGCCCCTTTCCTTTCATGGCCAGTTGTACAAATGACCTGTGCATGTAAGTTTCCAGTCTTGAATCTAGGATTAGCAGACAGAAACTGGGATCGAACGAGCAACTTAAATAACTTCTGTGTACACATGCTATGCTTATATCCTTTTATTTCTTTCCGAGTTGCAGCCCTTCACATTGTTAGGTTTTTAGCTGGGCAGTCTCACAATCTTCAGGAGCAAATTTTAACAGGAGGCACAAGAAAAAGTACTAATTTGGAATGGGGCTGTTTGAGTACCGACCAGTAAGCTTTTTTTTTTAAAGATGAAGGAAATGTTTTCCTGGCCATCCTTTCTTTTCACTGTTCCTAACTGACTTTTGTGGTGTTTCCTCTAGTTTTCATAGAATGTGTAGAATTTTACTGTGTGAAAGTACAGTAAAATCCCAATATGTTTTGATTTAAACATTGCATACATTTTGAAAATGTAATATCAGTACATTCTGCTGCATTTCTCTATATGTGCCTCTTTCTCCTCTTCTGGAGCAGTCATCGGGAAGACATTTGGAGGTTTTGCATTCATTTTAGATTGACCACAGTGTTAACTGATGCGTAAACTGCAATTAGTCTATAGTTTCATGAATCAAACCAGCTTGGAAAAGCAATTCAGTTAATGTATTGCTTTAGAAAAGAGAAAAATCATATCTGCCCCCCCCCCTTGGTTCTAAATCCACAATGATTACAGTAATTGTATTATATCTTTTAAAAAATGAAGTAATGTTTGGATTTGCCAAAATGGCCAACATCTAACTGAAATTAATATGGCACTTTGCTTGTATATTTGTATAGAAACATGGAAAAATAAGTTTATGTCCATTTAAATGTTTTAAGGTCAGGAGCAGACAATGCAACTTGGTGTCGAGCACTAACTGAATATGCAAGGACTTGTGCTCAAGCAGGAAAACCTCTCCATGAGTGGCGGGCACAATTCAACCAATGTGGTATGCAGCACAGAATTTCAGAATATTATCTGCTGTCAAAAATATTTTTGTCTCTCTTTTATGCAAGTCCTTGTCCTCTTGTTTTTAATAGTGTGCCTTCATTGACTGTATTGTGTGCAAATTTAAACTTTGTAGCAACTATGCTTCCTAATAACACTAAATGAGGAGACACAGTGGTCAGATAAAGCAGTGCCATGAAATGACACAGTGAATCATATTTGAAATTTGCAGCAAGTTACTGCTAATAGCAAATAAAATCAGTATGTCCAATTAAGAATGTCTTCCAAAGTGCAATATCTAATAGACCATGTCTTCTGCTTTAGTTTGTGATATATAAATCTTAGATTTATATATAAATATAAATGCATACATCTAATAGTCACTGGAGTGTGCTAGTTGGAGTGCTGGACTGGAGATTAGGGAGATCTGGGTTCTAGTCCCCACTTGGCCATGAAATTCGATGGGAGACTGGGCCAGTCAAGGCCTAACTTAGTTCAAAGAGTTGTTTTTGTGAGACTAAACTTGGAGTAGATGAGAACTAGGTAAGCTGCCTTGTGTTCCTCACAAGAGGAAAAAGTTGGTATAAAAATAGTAGTAACAATATTAATAATATCAAGAACTTGAACATCAATTTTCTGTGCTAATTTCATTATGTCCCAATATGCCTAGGAGATAATCCTTCTGCATGGAAGAATGCAACACTTAAATGTGGGTCAATAAAGGGTCAATAAAACCCTTTTTATATTAACCCATCATTTCAAATGCCTACATGGCCCTTCATGAAAGCAACACACCACACGTTGTGTGATACGAGAAATCTTTCTCACTCCACAACAAATTGCTCAGGATCCCGATCTCAGATAACTTGAGCGGTGGAAATATGGGAGACGTGGCCAGGAGACAGTGTGTACAGGCAGCCTGCATCTGCATGACCATCCACAAAGTGGGTATATGGGGAAGAAGAAACAGGTTCCACTGTGTTGCGTAAGGATCTATCCACATTCAGGGAATGTAAGGCAGATTTTATTTGTACTAGCTTAACATATATTGAGGGATGTGTTCTGCAAATGATCACCCATTTGCTCAACTGTAATTTTGAGGTGCATTTCAAAATTGTGGAAATTTGTTGTACTTCCATGAGTTGTTACTTGGATAAAAGAGAGAAAAAAAGCACACATGTTTCAAAAATCAAGAATGTAAGAGGCATGCTGGATCAGACCAAGGGTCCATCTAATCCAGCATTCTTTTCACCCAGTGGCCAACCAGCTGCCCATGGGAAAATTGCAAACAGTACTCTCCTACCCATGCTCCCCAACAACAAATGTACATAGGCATGCTTCCACTAATATTGAAGGTAGCATGTAGCCATCAGGACCAGTAGCCATTGATAGCCTTATTTTCCATAAATTTCCCTAATTTCTTTTTAAGCCATACAGATTGGTCCCCATCATTACATCTGGCAAAAATAAATTCCATAGTTTTAATTATATCCTGTGTGAAGAAGTAGTACTTTTTATCTATTCTGGATCTGAGAGAAACAAGTCAGCTGTAAATTAGCTTGAACACCAAGATGTCTTGTGACAGCTCAGTTGATTGTGGCTAAGTTTTGCATGGAACCCACTTCATCAGCTACTTAAATGGAAATCAGAGTAGCTTAAAACATTTAACATTCTCTTGTCTCTTCCCTTTTTCAGTCATTAAATGTGAGGAGCATCTTGTCTACAATGAATGCATTGACTGTTGTCCAGTTTCATGCCAGCAAAAAACTCACTGTGTTGACAGTGAACTTCCATGTGTTGATGGATGTTATTGCCCGGATGGTAATGCCAGTTTTGGTGTGGAATTTTGGTAGCGGCTGTGGCCTTTCAGAATGTTTTGATGGTCTTGCAGTCCATATGAAGCAGCAATTAAAGCTACTCTTCCAAAATCACCTATGAGTGGAGTTGGAACTTAAGTGGGGATGGATGGATTCAATACAGAACAATATAGTAGTAACTGGAATGAGGGAAGGGGAGAGATAAATGGAATAACTCTCACACTCCTCTCACATCTTCTCCCCATTGCCGTTTTCATCATTGGTAAACCAGTCAACATTTAAGGTTCCACTTCCGAAGTCAAAGTAACTAATTGATCTAAAACTAGTTGGGTTTTAGATCAAGTAGGCATGTATAGTCCTAAAGTCCTAAAAATAAAAAAAATAATACAGTTAAGCTCTGCTGATTTAATATCCATGATCCTGTTTAATATACTTTAATATATGATAGAGACATTTTATACTGCTGCATTTTTTGGATGAAGGAAGCAAGTTATGAGAAAAGAATCAAGGTTGTCTGTTCTCAATCTGTAAAGGAAAATGTGAAAATCAGCTTCATTTATAAAATTCATTGGTTATGTAGAGAATTAAAAGATTAACGGCATTAATTACTGACCTTGTGATATATCTAAATAAGGCTACATTCCTAAGTAAATTTTCTTAATAGTAAGTCCAATTGAAATCAAAGGGCCTTAGTTCTGAATAAATATGATTTTATGGCATAACTCAGTTAAGTTTCTTTTTATGGCAAATGCAACTCTTTCCTTTTTAAAAAAATATATCCTCATTTTGACATATACCAGGCAGTTCAAGATATTTTTAAATGCTTGGCTTTAATTTTGCTGCTGTTTTTGAATGTGCCATTCTAGGATTTATATATGAAAACAGATTATGTGTAAAGCCTGCGGAATGCCCATGTGATTACCATGGAACTATCCATAGAACTGGCGCTGTGGTTCATGAAGAATGCAACAATTGGTTAGTAACATTCCAAATATTTTTCTTTGGAATATCTTTTTTATATAGTACGTATTCCCTAAGATAATCTACAGAATGTACCTTACTTCTGTAATACTTCCAGTAGGGTTTTGTGAAAAATCGTTTTGAGGGTGGGGAATCTGTTGGATTTCTGGAGCTTGACTTCCCTCACTTTGTTCTACTTTGCAGCACCCCTGAGTCTAAGTTTCTAGCAGGTATGCCCCGTGTTTGTGGGGTTCAGGCCAGGAATTGCAGCCCACATGCTGTGCAAGCGGCATCCCTTTGCCATGCTACCTGCAGTAGCTGTTCGGGCTGCCACACCTGATACAGGAGAAGGTTGCTGGTTGCTCGACCTTCATTCTGCAAGAGTTTGCAAACTTCCCCTTGGCTTGGCTCATGTTGCAAGACTGGGCTGGTCATGAGAGGACCTCAAATGCTAGAGATTCCACTAGGCTCTGTCCCAGTTCTAACTTAGAGCTCTATTAAGTGCAAGTTTACAACTGTCCCTCTTGCAATGCACCAGCTTATGTTTCTGTATCTGTTCTTGCCACTACTTCATCTTGCCAGGATGAGTAGAAGACCAGGTATTGAGGAATACCTAAAGCCAATTGTTGGCTAACATGTTAAATTTTCAGATAGTTAATTTGTGAAAAAAATGCATGAAGGCAATCACAACAAATAAAAAGCAGTTTTTCGTTGTGGTCTCTGTGCATCACACATATATAGGTGCTGTGCCTGCACAGTGCCTGTTGCCAGGAGGATTTAAGAGCTTTAATGGTTTTGGTGGGAACTCTGCGCAACCTTCCTCCCCTATGGGTGGAGTGCCTCTGGCTACTGGTGCCAGGATACTAAAATAATATTATATAGGACTGTATAAATGTGTGCCTTAACTATATGCATGTGTTGTAGTTTTCTGATTTTTAAGAATATACAAGCATCAGGTTAACGACTGCAAATCTGAAGGCTTTTCTTTCCATCAAAGTGTCTGTGCTTGATTGTTTAAACATTTGTGGACTTAACTGTGAGGAAAGATGTTCAACCTGCTTTCAGGAGGCCACGTTCTGAAGCTTTAGAAGTAGTGCTGGGGGAGATGTTTTCAAAATGATGAGTAGTTCTACACTTGCTCAGCTTGCTTGCATACTCCTATAAGAGATTTATTTTGTCTTGTTTTCTTTTCTGTGGTAGGTAGATCACTTTGTGACACAACCTTTACAAAATATTCATACTTTTCATAGCCTAACCTTAGTTGAGAGTTTTGCTTAAATGGGCTCCTTTGGCACTTTGTAATGGGTACTTCTTATTGTCAAGTAAAAGCTTTGTATTAACAGCTATAAACACCAGCTGTAATTATTTCTGTTTTAGTACATGCTTTGGAGGAAAATGGATTTGCACAAATTTGACCTGTCCAGGTATGTCAGTTTTCAGATATTTCATTCGGAGTCTAATGAACTTTGTACATGAGTTGTAGTATGAATATTAATATTATCTCTGTCCTATTTAAAAAGCCTTCCTAGTTACTAGTAATCATAATATTGTATGTTTATCTCTTGCATTTTAACTGTCCGTATTTTTATAATATCAATCTGTCTAGTTATAAATGTGCAATAATATCAGTTAGAAAATAGGAAAAGGAAATAAAAATAGATTCTATGGTAGCCTTCTTAGTTTTATATTAAAAAGTGTACTTTTATATTAAAAACTACCACTCTCTTAACAAAATGAAAGTGTTATGTGGCCTTCAGCACTTCAGTTCTCTTCCCCGCTTCCCTCTGCTTACATTGACTGTATTTCATATGTTGTCTGTACAGCTTGGCTTTTAAATATTTTCTTGCAATTCATTTAATGTTATTATTGATTTTTATTATGATATACACATTAATATATTCCTTGTGGGAAAGTGCCCTATATATTTAAAAGATAGATTCCATTATTTCACATTTTTATGTTAGATAGGGCAGTTTTCTTCTAGTTCTTAGATTATTATTTCAACAGGTAAGTGGCAAGCTGCTGTTTTACACAGTATCTTCTCATCAGTGCCAAAGCAATACTGACACTTCAGTCCTAGGTGTGCTTTCTTAGAAGCAGAACTTGCTTATTTCAGTAGGTCTTATTTCTGAGTAATTATGCTTAGGATTTCAGCCTTATTCTTAAGAAAGCTGACCATGACCCTAATATGATGGCTTTCTTAGTTGGTGGTGCTTAGTTTTTCCCAAAGTTTTCAGAATTTATTTCAGCATTACCCGCTGTCCTATTTCCAAATTCACCAGACATGTTTATGCAGCCTTTGCCTGCTGATGCCACCCATGCTAGACAATTTAATATAACATCTTGGTGGATTTGCAAAATACAGTACTGGAATTACAGTCTTGCATGCTAGAAAGGTCTGTGTGTTCTCTTTGTGAAAGCTGCATCAACTGGAATGGTTATTCCAAAGGGTTTATTTAGGAAAAGTGAAAAAATCCATAGATTAATGACTTGGTATTCAATAACTTCTAATTCCAATCATTCCAATTTGGTTTAACACAAGCTGGGCCAGTCATATGCTGGCAGACCAGATGATGGTGTTTGATTGCAGCCATATATTTTCCATGAATTGGCCGTTAGTGTATTTTACAGTGCATTTCACTATGTATACATCTGAGATTGTATTGTTTCAAATATTGAAAGGCTGTGTCCCTTAAAAGCAGTGTGTAAATACGTAAAAGTTGAAATACTCTTTTCCACCAGTGACAGCAATGTCAATGGTGTATTCATTTCAGGTTTAATGAACATTAAAGGAACTATCCATAAGCCCAGAACTAGCTTGGGGATAGGTTCAGCATGAGGATAGCTCCTTAAAAGTTCAGCCTAAAATGAGGCATCAGGTTCCAATGATCCTGATCACAGAATGCAAATGTTATTGTCAATCAGATATAGAAATGTATGGCTTTAATATAATTAGGTATTAATATAATTTACATTAATGATAATTTGCATAATAATATTTTATAGCAAATTGAAACACTGTATTCCTTTTCATTGTTAGCTGAATGTTCAGTCTCAGGAGATATTCACTTCATGACATTTGATGGACGCAAGTATACATTTCAAGCCACTTGCCAGTATATTTTGGCAAAAAGCCTTACCTCTGGTAAATTTGCTGTGACTCTGCAAAATGCTCCTTGCGGACAGGTGAGATCATAAAAACGATAGTGCTGTTTGCTTAAGATCAAGAGAATGTTACCTGTGGTACCACGTGTACTGCTCACTGAGGAATGGGTCTCTGGATTGTGATCAGTGTGGGACACTTCTAAAGGTTGCTTTCCAAAAACATAATGAGTCCTCCACCCACAAGAGCATACTTTCCATTTAAAAGAATGAACTTCGGCATCTGACTTTCTTAGGGAAAAGACAAATCTCAGTGGTGGAACACATGCTTTAATCTTTGCTAGTTCAGATGTCAAACCTCATGCAGTATAAACCTCAAGCCAATCACTTATTATAAATAATATCTTTATCTGTCTATGCATTTATTTGATTCCACAAATGAAAAAACTATGTACCCGTTGGCCAGTAAACAGCACCTGTCCTTTCCAATGACTGTATTTTATACATTATTGCCACAATTCATAGCGACCCTTGTCTCCTTCTCAGTCTTTGTGATGCGTGTGCATTTGGAGAGCAGGCTTTCGGGGGATACGTTACCTTGACCGCAGGCTGGTCAGCAGGAAGATTGGCTGCAGTTGAACATGTAAAGCTGGAGTAGATGGACCTTATCTTATGCTCTTGGGTGGCTCCATGAGCAAAGCAGAGCAGCAGGTCCAGATGGATCCTCAGATTGAAGCTCTTCCCCTAAGTTCCTAAATGCAAAAGTTCTCCTGCATGTGAATGCTGCCCAGCTTTGTTCATTTCAGAAAACTGAACTGTAGTAGGTCAAATATCCCTTCTCTTACACGCATACCTTAATGTGGTGAAGGGGTTTTATGCAGGCATTCAAGAGGAAATGGATATCGCACCAAGCGGAGACTTGCTGATAATCATCGGTGGCTGAAACAGAAAATTAGGGAAAAAAGCAGAATGGAATGTTGTGGAGAATTTGGCCTGGGTGTAAGAAATAAAGCTGGGGAACAACTTGTAGAATTCTTTGAAGTCAACAATCTGTTTTATTGCAAATGCATACTTCAGGCAACCAATCAGATAACTGTACACATAGACATCATCAGATGGCCAATGTAGGAATGAAATACACTACATAATTGAAGTAGAAGATGGAGAACTGTGGAATGAAGCCAAAAACATTTTTAGGGACAAAAGCAAATGCCCCACAAAAATGGCAGTTTACAAAAACAAATTAAAATTGATTAAACCATCAGAGCACATTGCAGTACAGTAAAAATGAAATATTATAGAATAGAAACAGTGCCTAACCACAGACCCACTTACAGACTAGAAGTTACTTGAATAAGGTAGTCTTAGCCTGCCCTTGGCAAGATTAGCAGAGGGGGACTAACCACGCCTTCAGGCTTGAGACTAACCAAGCTTACTTTGGGGAGAAGTGGCACACAGGTCCACAGGTGCCCAAGCTGTTTTTTGTTACTCAAAAAAGTATTGTCACTTATTTGTGGTGGGTAGCTAATGCTGTCTGTGATGCTATTATAGGAGATCATATAATTAGCTATTCAGCAGTAGAAGGATGAAACCTTTTTCAGAGAAACAATGATTCCAGATGAGTTTGCTTTAAATCTATGTTCCCTTTTGTTTCTAGGTTTTGCAAATGTTGGTTTTTATCGGGCTTCTCTCAGCATTATGCTGTCTTCTAAAGTACTGTGGTTTTATAGTATGATAATATAATAATACGTTGTCCCAATATGTTTGGTCCTCAGAAAAGATGTACTACTTTTTTCAGATCTAGGGTGCCTACATAGTATGGCAAGAAGTCTGCAATTAATTCACATTCGTTCACAGTATTTACTTAACAGCATTTTTTATTCCAGTCCACAGCTGCAAAAGCCTTGCTGAAAGAATTACAAAGATTAATTTTAAGAAGTGCTTTAAGGACTTGATTGTACAGTTTCTGATTAAGGGATACAGTCAAGTGAGCTGTTCTCCATAAAACATGTATATCACTACTTTGGGAGTATTTTCTAATTGGTTGGTCAGATAAAGTCTGAAAATAGAAATAGTATCTCAAAACAAAATGCTTAGCAGAGCCTGCTCAAGTCAAATTCATATGTTTATTTCATTTGCATCCTGCGTTTCTATCAAGAAAATACCACTGAAGGCAGCTGTGACAGTACTGTGGGAAAAGCGTCTTTTAACAAAGCAACAAAAAGATTGCACTTTGAAGTCTCTGCTAAAGTGTAATTTTAATATTTGGCTTCTCTCCATCTTTTCTAAAAACATCTCTTTGCAGGTGTGTTTCTGAGCAGTTGGCACTGCTCTTTCTCTGCCAGATATGAGAAGAAGGGGGATTGGAGTTTCAGTTCCCAGCTTTGAGATTGGGGCTTTCTCCAGACTGGATCTGGGAACCTGAAATATTTTGTGGCTCCTCAGACCCTTCTTGGTCCATCGAACTTGTTCCCTAAAGTACTGTGTTCAGAATCTTTATTTTTCTAGCCTTGAATTTTGTAAAGATATTGGAAATCTCTCTTAAAATGTTGTATTATATTCAAGCAGGTAGAGATTTTGACTTTTTTAATCACAAAGAGTATGGTTATTGACTCCCTCAGGCTTGGTGACAGAAATAGTCATCATGCAACAGATGAGTCTGGAACGATGTAAAATTTATTTGGTGAATAGCAGAGTTTAACCTTATCTGAGTTTCAAGTGACAGTATCACTAGATGTTCTAGTTGGTTATGATGAGAAGAATTTTTGAAATACAGATTTTTATTAAGCACCTAATGAGTGAGGTACATTTCTTGAGAAAGCAGCTGCTGATAGGTAGCTGAGTCAGTTTTATGAAAGAAACAGTTCAGTGGAACAGTGTATTATTGTTAGGATTTTGAGGGAATAAAACTGTTTGGAACAACTTCCATATGCACACAGAGCTATATAGCAAACATACATACCCACATTCCTATACTTCACTAGATTTTTCGACTTGCCCTCGTAGTTGTTTTATGCCACTTGAAAATGGCATAAGAAGCAGCTATACTCTAGCAGATTATTGGTCCATCTTGCTATGTATTATCTACTGTGTCTAGTTCTTCAATTGGAAACAACAGAATGAAATTTAATAGGGACAAATGCTAAATTCTGCACCTAGAAAAAGAAACAAAATGCATTGTTCCAAGAATGGGGATACTTGGCTGAACAACACTGCAAATAAGAAGGACTTTGGAATTTAGATCAGAAGCTGAATTTGAGTCAAATATGTGATGTGACTGCAAAAAAGATAAATGCTGTTTTGGGCTACATTGATAGAAGTATCACTTGCAAATTACATTAAGTTCTAGTTCCCCTCTACTCGGAACTGGTTAGGCCTCATCTGGAGTACTGTGTCCAGTTCTGGGCTCCATAGTTGAAAAAAGGCAGAAAGAGGGGAAGAATGATGATCCAGGGACTGGAAACAAAGCCCTATGAGGAGAGATTTTAAAAACTGGGCATGTTTAGCCTGGGGAAGAGAAGACTGATGGGAGATATGATAGAACTCTTCAAGTCCTTGAAAGGCTGTCACAAAGAGGAAGGACAGGATCTCTTCTCAGTCATCCCAGACCACAGGATATGGAATAACGGGCTTATGTTACAAGAAGCCATGTTCCAGATGAACATCAGGAAGAACTTCTGACTAGTAGAGCAATATAACAATTATCTAGGGAAACAGTGGACTCTTATGCACTAGAGACATTCAAGATGCAGCTGGACAGCCATCTGAGAGGACTGGTTTAATTTTGAGTTGTGTGTTGAACAGGAGAGTTGGACCTGATGGCCTTCTTGGTTTCCTTCCAACTCTAGTATTCTGTGATTCAGAGGTACTTTCCACCTCCTGTTTTTGATCATTTTTTAACTGTAGGTGCCATGAACTGAACTTGGGATCTTCTACATGTGCTTTCCCACTGAGGTATAATTACATACCAAATGCCCTTGTGCAGACATATAGGTCTATCCCTGCTTGGTCTTGAAATCAGTATAGTTGTCATATATCACAATTTAAACCTAGAAGTTTTAGGGCTGGTTGGGTTTTGTACTCTGATAGCACTGAAAATTGGGCATTCATTTTGGAATTGATTGGTAAATTTCATAAGTATGAGATCTCCAAATAAAGATGAATTGATCTTAGTGCACCATTGGTGTATTTAGGAGATACTTAACTCTATTTCCTAGCTTCTGCCAAAGGAAAATGGGAGCAGAACCTATTCACAAATCCTGATCCTTCAAGATAATTCACTTTCAAGAGTTTTGCTCCATTGTAAGGCTTTCTTATTGAATGCGTTCATTTTTCCAAGCAGAGAAAGTTAGGTGGGGAAGGGTGACCCTAAAACTACCTTCTGATCTCCCCATGGCAATTTATGGATCACCCAAAAGAGGACAAAAGCCATACTTTTCCATATGATTATTTATATGTGTGGATATAAATTTAGAAATATTGTTAAATTACAAGTTAAATTGAAATAAAATACATCTCATAGTGAGGTAACCTGTGTTCTATACAATCTGATACTCAGGTACTGTTAGTGGGTAGTCTCAAGATCCCTGTTGTTACGTCCTCCCCTTTTAAGCCAGATCTGGACTAGAGAGGTCTTTCAAATAGAAAGTTGACAGTGTTAGTAGTCTGTAAAGTAGGACACACAGGCAGCCTACCCCAGTAAGAGAGAAATACTATTTGAACCGGCAGATGGTTGCAAGGGTACATGAACAGGATAATGGGCATGATAAATCTGTACAGGATGTGTGATCTGCACATGCGATTTGCATGTCCTATTCAAACATAAGGAAAAAAGAGAAGGAACATCACTTTGTTTCTATAAATCTCCTGCTCATACCTAGGATGAAGCTCTACAGTTGCATCTTTCAAAAGCTTTTCCTCTACTGCTGGCATGCCGTTCCTAGTAGATTAGTCTATTAGGGAAAATAGACCTGGAAAGGAGATGTTTCTCCTCTCCTTCTCTTGCCACTGGCTCCCACATGCCCTCTTTACATGCTTATTGTTGTATAGAGCTGAACAAACAGGATCCTGTTTAGGGATCCTCGTTTGTTCTTAATGTCACGCTTTATTTAATCATTCATTCATTTACAACATTTGTATGCTTCCCAGTTGTGCCACAGCACCTCTGGGGGACTCACAACATGAGATGAAAAATTAGTATGCCTCCCTGTCTTTTTTCAAAATGGATTATAAATATTATTCTATATTTTGATTGTTCATTAGATCCACTGAATAATTTTAAGACATGCTGCTCATTGTATTCCTAGAATCAGGATGGAGCGTGTATCCAGTCAGTCAGTTTTATTCTCAATCAAGATTCCAAGAGGCAAGTGACACTGACACATTCTGGAGATGTTTTGGTATATGATCAATACAAAGTCAATCTGCCTTACATTGATGGTAAGGAATAATACATATACAATTACTGTAACAATTGCAAGTTTAAATATGTTATGGATGAATTCCAGTGAAGTGGTTCTGGTGATATAACTGTTTCCATCAGAGGAATTGGGAGAGGGGCTATTAACCTTGCCTCTGAAGTTTACTCTGGAAGGCTGGTGGACCCTCTGATTTTGTGGGTGCAGGAGCTTGTAAAAGGAAGGAGAAAATTCTGTCATATTAGTCAAAAACTGCTTGTGTGATATCAGGTTCTACCCTGTGTTTTGAGTGATGTATATATAATACATCCTTACTGCCATTTCAGTGCATCTTTTTATAGCCCTGTGTAACTCTTTTACCTTCTTCCAGTCTCTGTATCACTTCATGATATCCCAGAAGTCAAATGTCTTGTAGTTCCTTTCATCTCACCCTGTATCTAAATGATCTAAACGCTATACATAGAGTGAATCTTTTAGTTCTGCGCTAATACTCCCCAGCTTGAATCGGAATGAGCTTGATTAAAATAAATTATGTTTACATATGTTATTATTTAATCCCCTAAAATGATTTTTGGTTGATCTGATGTGAAATCCCATTCCTACCATTAACTTTGACTGAGTCTAATGGCTAACAAGGCCCAATGGCTGCCAGTCCTTCCCCAGCCTTCTGTGATGTGAAGTTTTCTAAACTTGCCTGGGTGAGGACTCATGGAGGGGAGAAGTGTTAAGCCTGAGATCTACTCAGCCTTAAGCCTGAGATGAACTTTCAAAAAGTTTGGTAGTGATGATAGTGGTGTGGTGGGCTTCAGGCTTGAGTAAAATTGACCTCATTTTACTCTGGGCCTAGTTTTGGGAAATGTTTGAGCCCAATGTCAAAAAGACTTCAAGAAGTCATTTACAATATACATGAAACACTTCACATAAAGAATAAAACTGAACTCTTAATATCATTTTAGCTTATTGATAGCACATGTTGTCTAACATTTTTTCTAGATTCTTTTGAAATAAGAAAACTTTCCTCTGTGTTTTTGCAAATAAAGTCATATATTGGATTACAAATACTTTATGACCCTGAAGGTTTGAGACTCTACCTCAAGGTTGATGCCAGATGGAAAGATGATACTATCGGTCTCTGTGGAACCTTCAACGGAAACACTCAAGATGACTTTTTGTATGTATCATTAACACTTTTTAGTAACATGCCTACTTGTACTGATACGTTTCCATCTGGAGTGGGGATTTTTCCCAAACAGGATAGAAAAACAGATGAGTTCCTTGTGGGAAAAACAATTTTTAAATGTACTTACAGTTCTGAAAGCTCATCATCGATAAAAATAATTATACTGGAGAACCTCAAATCAGAATAGATGTATAAGAGACCTTGTATCCTGCAAAGCACAAATGCTTGAGAACAAACATGCAACAGGTTTCAAATATTTGGCAAAAATTCCCTGCTTCAAATCTTAGATAGTTTTAATCAGATTGTCATAATTAAAAGGGCGCTGAATTGGAGGCAGGCTGCCAAAGAAGACCATAGAATACTTACTGTGTTAAATATGGGCATATAACTATAAAGGCTCCTGCCATCCTTGCAGTTTGAAAGCTTGCAAATGCAAGTAGATAAAAAGGTACCACTTTGGTGGGAAAGTAACAGCATTCTGTGCACTTCAGTGTTTAGTCATGCTGGCCACATGACTACGGAAACTGTCTGGACAAACGCTGGCTCCCTAGGCTAGGAAACGGAGATGAGCACCGCCCCCTAGAGTCAGACATGACTGGACTTTAATGTCATGGGGAAACCTTTACCTTTAACTATAAAGGGCATACTTTTGAATAACATTGAAAGCTTTAAAAATACTATGAATTCCAAAACATCAGTATTTTTACTAATATATTCAGTAGTAGTTCTGAATTAGTTCTTGGTCTTCACCAGGTTATAACTGTTCATTACTACTGTGATATGGTTGCTAATCACTCTGCTAGCAAAGGCAGCTTCCAGATAACATATTGACAGGTTCTCTAAACTGTGGTCTATAATTCCGGTTTGTAGGCTTCATTCGTATCATATTTTGCTAGTTCACCCATCACAGCAACATGGGATTTGGCAATCTAGGAAGTGTTTTTTAGCTGGATGCATGAGGAGAGGCAGGAGTATACAAATGGCATATCTCCAATTACCCAGATCATGATTCGGAGGACCTGAGAACTTGCTGTCTAGATCCTGCCATTATCCTTGGTATCTGAACCAAGCTAAACTGTCCTTTGATAAAGGAGTCTTTATGTAAGGTGTCCTTGGAGCTGTCTTATAGGTTTTGCTTGGTTTAATTTCAGTAGTTTCAGCCCAGGGATGTAGACAGACTCCTTGAGTGGGCTAGACAACCACCAGTGCTTGAGTTACTTGCCTTTGCTGTCTAGAATTTATTCTGTACCTTCTGCTTTCTGTCTACCCTGCACCACATTGTCATACTCTGTGTTCTTTTACTTACAATTAAGTAATAGAATATGTATTTTGTCCTGTATTTCTTTATAAATTGTAATTTATATTATTCATCTTTATTTTATTGGCTTGACTTGGTTAACTTTTGTATTCTCTTTTATGTCATTGTGAACTGCTCAGAGTACCTTCATCAGAAGAGTACAGGAATTTAGTAAATAATAATAATGATATAAACAACTGAAGCACCACTGTGAAACTTTAAGATGTCAGATTTAATAACACTTTTCAGATTCATTGAAGCCTGCCTCAAATTTTTAGGCAACGAGCTAATTTGGGATTTTCTAATGGTGCCTTTTTAAATTTAGAACCACAATGGCAAGTGATGTTTAATTAAGGGCCAAGATACACATTATACAGGAATCCCATAATCAGAACATCTGACTTTTTAAAAAGTAGTGCAGCTGTGTTAATTGCACCATTAAATGTACTTGTAGAAGTAGTGTGTGTCTTTTTAATTCATTGCTCCCTCCCAAAATTTTTCCAACCAATTTTTCCAATTGCCTCTGCCTTATCCCACAACAATTTAATTTAACAAGTACTTTCTTGTAGAGGAGAAACCATAAATCATAGCTCACCTAAACACCTAGTTTTATAGATCTTCTGTATGGGATGAAACACAGTCAAGTGCACCAACCAGTTGAAGTATGTCCTTTTGTGACATTGCTATTTATTGTTTAAACAATGTATTTGGAAAAAAAGATCTCCAGTTGGAGTGCCAGAAAGTACACCTCAGCTTTTTGGAAATTCCTGGAAAACCTCATCAGCCTGTACTCCTGAATATGATCATTCGGCAATGGATCCATGTGATGTTCATCTACAAGCAGGTGAGCTTAAAAGATATTACAGATATAGACTGAAGGTGGCAAAATGTTTACACTTGCATCAAACAACTTTTATTTTTCCTTCTGAGACTGTGAATCCTAAATGTACATACTTGATTGCAGTGGGCAGTACCTGGCCGATCCCACAGTGGACTCATCACTAGTGCAACAGAAAGCTAGTGCTTCCTAGAGCAACTATAAACAAGCTGTTCTAGGATAGAACAGGTAATCCAAACAAGCAGAAGAGAGCCATGTTCACTTGGTCATTCTGGGAATAAGCAGTGAGTTCTACTGCTGCAATACAAACAGCAGAGGTATAGTGGCAGCAGTGAATACTGCCCAGTGAATAAGCACACAACAAAGATAACTGGCATACTCTTCCTGAATATGCATATTGGCACTGTGATCTGTGCAACACCAAGGTGACATAAAGTTTGCAGCTGCTTACATTCTGCTGAAGGAAGCCCCAGAGATTTTCACATGAATTTGCTGCACTGTTATTTTACTTATTTATTTGACATAGTGTTAAACTGTCCTTTTCCTCTGGATATTATGGTGGTTCTCAAGAAGCCAAAGTAACCCAAAGTATGCCATGATGTGATGTGATGTGATGCAGCTCTAAAATTTCATCACAATAAAAATGAAAAAGAGCCATAAACTCTGTTGGTTCTGATAACTGCATGCATTCTTTCAGCCACTGGCTTGCCTTTTCATTCTCTATCTGAAAATTATGTCTGCTTTTTTAATGAGTTCTTCAGGTTTGGGGTCACTAGAGTCCCCACCAGAAACTCAAGGATTACATAATCAAGATTTCACTACAGGAAGGTTTATGTGTTTTGCTTAGAACTATGCCATTTCCAGTTAAGGAATTTTAAAAAATGAAATCTTCATTTAGTAATTCTGAGATTGTATGCATTTATTGTTCACTCATATTTGTGACTTTCAGTCAAATTACATCAGTGTTACATGCTCTGAGCAGGAGTTTGAGGAAAACGAATGTCAACGTTTATTGTTGCGGTACATTTTAAAAATCAGCATGAAAGTTTTACCCCTTTCTTTATATTATCCTGTTACATATTTTCTTTATATATTATGTCAGGGCAGGTATTGATGCAGGCTGAATAAATACAGATATAATGTATAGCAAGGAATGTGTAGCAAGGAATTACCAAATGTCTTTTGAAAAAAAGCCTTCATTTGGTCTCAGCAGGTGCATAACGTAGGAGTCAACCAGTACTGATGCACTGGATAGAAGAATACTGCCGAGAAAGCCCACCAATGAGTTACACATATTTTAATTCAATCCTGCTCGGTAGGGCCTCCCCAAGTAACTAAGGCACCTTTTCCTCCAGAAAGATAATTCTGTGCTAATGATAGGAGGTTCCAAAACAGGTTCCAAAACATTTATGAAGCGGATTTTCTAGTGTGATGATCTTACGTTGTGCAACATAATTTCAAGTTCTGAAGTACCTTCTTATCCTTCAGACATCCTGATAGTTTGAAGGGTTGTCCACCATTCCTCTGTAATCCCAGGAATGTTTTGTGTATAAGGGGAGTTAAATCACACACAGATGGAAGGCAAAATTCAGTTTTGGAGAAGCTGTTGGGGCTACATTCCAGTGGTAGGCAGAGCTATGGAGTATGAGTGCGGGCAAAATACTAGCATATTTTAATTTAAATGTCTTATTGTTAGCAACTAAAACTTAGGAGTGGCCTCTCAATCTTTTATTGAGGTAAAGGAGGTGCAAAATCTGGGAAGCTTTCTTCTGGATTTTGAGCAAATGTGGGGGTGCAGAACAGAATGTGGTCTTATAAAAAATGAGGTACTCTCCCACCCTACAGAAAAACACTGGCGTTTTTCTTGTTTCTGGATTCAGACTCTTTATTATTTTGTCTTTATTGGTTTCTTGTTAGGGCCAATCTAGATCTGTGAATACTTGATTGCTTGAATGCAATTATCATGTACTTTATGGTTGTGCAAATAACAGGGAAACTTGAACAGCATCAAGAAGAGTTGGTGGTGGAGACAGGACAGGGAGTATAGCTCTCTCCTTTGTATGATCCCTCTTTCTAGTCCCCACTTTGAAGATGCTGCTCATTTTTCAAGGGAATCTTGCATGGGCATCAGTGGAGGTTTCCCCTGAAAGGGAAATATCAGCTCCCTTGTGTGACTCTCAGAGATGCATCCAAAAAGCTTTTGCAGCTCTTTGAGTAATTATTTTCATTAGTATTTCAGATCAATAGCAGAGTCTTTCCATTAATCCATTCAAAGCTGATGGAAATGCACTTGCTAGTTCATTATTACCAGGGTGTTGTTGTTGTTAATGTATGGCATTTAAAGCATACCTTATTGGTTCTTGTGAGGAACCAAAGGCAGTTTGCATTCTTTAAGACAACTACAGGAGGTTTGGGGGTAATTTCTGTCCCCTACACAAGGGTAAAATAAGAATAATTGAACAGAATAGTTTAAAAAGATCAGTATGCTAGCAGTACTAAAAGAGTTAATTGGTTGGACCTTTCTAGTGCTACATGCTAAAATGGATAATTCTAGCTTGCAGCAGTGTTGCTTTTAATCCTCCCAAACCTGGGAACATGTGAGGTTGTTGAACCATTGCTTAAGAACAGTCACATGGAGAGTTATGAAATCATGTGGAATCATGAGAGTCATGATCATACTACTAATTAGGCCACCTTTAATGTAAATATAACCATACAAATTATATACAGTGGTACCTTGGCTCACGAATGCCTTGGTTCACGACCAAATCAGGTTGCGAACAAAAATTTCATGAAAATTTTGATATGGATCATGAACTCCGCATTGGGTAGCGACCAAGATCACAGCCATCTCTCCCCCCTCCCCAAGTGGGGAGATGGCCACGATCGCAGTTGTGTTTGTGCAGGGAAGAAGACATGCGTGATCATGGGCGTGGCCTGCAGGAAAGACAGGCGCAATCTCAGCCATCTCCCCTCCTCCAACCAGCACGATCACGGCCATCTCCCTCCCCGCCCCAAGTGGGGAGATGGCTACGATCGGCTGGGGGCGGGTGGGGGGAGGTGGCTGAGATCGCACCGGTCTCTCCCTTCTCTAGCGCGCCCTGTTTGCTCCCGTCTCTCTCTTCCCCAGTGCGCCTGCGATCATGCCTGTCACTCCCCCTCCAGCACGCCGGGATGACGGGCACGTGCAGGGATGATGGGCATGTGCAGGGATGACAGGCGCGATCTCAGTTGTGTTGAGGGGGCGGGGAGATGGCTGCACTTGTGCTCAGGGTCGGGAGGGGGAGATGGCAGCGATCTTTGTTGTTCTTTGTCACTTTGCTTCACATTTTTCTGATTAAAAAAAAAAACGGTTACAGAACAGATTAATCTTATTTACATTGACCCTTATGGGGAAATTTGACTTGGCTCATGACCAATTTGGGTCGCGACCAGAGTCCTGGAACGGGTTAAGTTTGTGAGCCAAGGTACCACTGCATTTGAAGACGGGCAGATAAATATCTTGGTAATAGTTAACTGAGACATCCTTTAAAAATGCTTCACACAATTCTTAATTTTTAGTTGCACAAATAGGTCTGGTTTTGGCTGCTCCTTGTCCTTGGTAAGATCAGAGGAGCTGAAACAGGTGAAATTTGTTTGAACAGCAGGGAATCACAATGCTAAATGTAGAGAAACGCTGACTAAAACATGGTTATTTCTGTTTCTTTGGCAGCTGCTTATGCAACAGGATCCTGCAGCATCATTATGAAAGAACTCTTTGCCCCATGCTATTCCTATCTGAGTCCACTTCCCTATTTTGAACAGTGCAGAAGAGATACCTGTAAATGTGGACAGATCTGTATGTGCTCTGCTCTATCCCATTATGCTCACTTGTGCCGCAGATTTGGAGTAATGATAGACTATCGGAGTAATGTCCCAGAATGTGGTAAGTATTTTTCAGTTTGAAGAGAATATACGAACAAGTCAAACACGCTAACAAGTTAAATCTAAATTCATAGATTATCTCAATTGAATTCATTTGCTTAAATCCAGATAACCATGAGCAGAAGAAAATGTGGGTTAAATGCAATGTTATACAAACAGACTTTTGCTTGTGCAATGGAACCTCATGCTTTCCTCCCTTGGCATGTCCCCAGATCTGCTCTGGGCAATTTCCCCAAAGGTTTAGAGCAGATGTGGGGGCATGAGGGGTTGTATGAGGGAGAGGCTTCTGTTCCATTCTATTCAATATTGGATCCAACTCAGTGGATTAATGCTGCTTCATGAACTTGTGCCCACGCTAGCCAGACTCCTTGCAAGCTGTATTATATCAAGGGATCCTTTGCAGTATGAGAATTTAGATGACTAGGAGGGTATAAACCTCGGTAGCATAAAAACTCCAGTGGATTATAAAAAGTTCGTGAAAAAGATCAATTAATTTGCACACATGAAAAAAAACCTCTGGATTTTAGGGGTGTTTTGATTTTGTTTTATTGTGACAAGGCACTACTCTTCCAGTATGTTGGGGAAAAATCTTTCTATTAGTAGAAGAAGCATTCTACTATTGGACAGATTTCTTGATATCCAAGCTGTTCTTATTAAGGATTTCACCACATCTGAAATTCCTTAGTCCAATTCTTTCTGTCACTCTTGCCTTGCTGGCAAAATTATAATGAACAATGTATAGGAATGTAAACTGTTTTGAATGTACAGAACTTTGGTATTATGAAAATGAATTCAAGAGGTGTGTTGAAAGCAAACAGATTCAGGTCAACATAGATTGTTGAATGTAACAAATAATTTAGACTGTGTTGCAAGTAGCATAATGCTGCTGTATTGCTGGCTATAAAGTGTGTGATTTTGTGTTAACTAAAATGTGTCTTAAGATGCTAACCTGTGTATACTTTATAGGTAGTGTGTTACCTGAACACCATGTATGGGTTTGTATGTCATGCCAACCAACCATGGTGATTTGCCTTGGTGAGTTGGTTGTTCTTTGAAATACCCATGGTGAGTTCGATAGATGACTGGGCTTATTGTAGATCCTTTGTTCCCTCCCTTCCTTTCTTTCCTTTCATGCCTCCAGGTGGTATCCCAGGGAAGACTGCAGGAGCAACAAGTTCTCTCTCCTTCCCTGATGGACTGCCACATGGTTTTCTGCTCTTGTTTTCTGATGCTGCTTTGTCCCTTTACATTGGTGGGGAGAGGGGTGGAGAGAGAGATTGTGAAAGCTGGCTTGACAGTTGGCTTTCCCAATCCCCATTTGGGAGGCCACAAGATGGTCCCTCAAAGTGCCCCAGAAAGGCTCTCTCTGGCTGCCAAATACTTTTTAAAAGTTGCACCCAAAGTAGGAGCAAAACACCTCATTTTTTAAAAAAATAGTCTCAGTCTCACTAATATGTCCATTCTGGGCTGGTAGAGGGAACAACTTGTGCACCTTTCCATGATTCTCTAGGTTCTGGGAAGGTGTAAAAGTGCACCCCATCCCTTTTTAAATACAAACAGAGTTTTAACACACTTAACGAAACTCAGGGTCTATTAAAATTCAGGGGGGAGGTGATTGAAGTGGAAGTTGGTGGATTAGTACTGGACTCTAAGGATGTAGTAGTTGAAAACTCCAGGATAGTAAACTCCATTACAATCGTACAAAAGTCCATGGTTTCTCATTGGAGGTGTTAAAAAAGCCATTGTGTGTTGTGGGTAGCATGGGCTAGGTTTGCACAATGCAACAGCCTTCTGTTGACTTTATCTCCAGCTGGTTGTCATGTCATGTGAACCCAGTCAGTGAGACTGGCTTGTGAGTAAGCATGGGTAAGATCGGATATCAGCTGTTCTTTTCCAGTCAATCCTACCACATTTTTATAGAAGGAAATGTGCGACGGACTTTTGAGAGAGGATTTTAAAAAAGGCATCTGGTTTGTAATATGAGAGCTTTGTTTCATTTGGATAGCTCTTTCATGTGAAGATACAAAGGAGTACAGTACCTGTGTGCCTACCTGTGGCGAAACCTGCCAAGCACTCTCCATGCCAGAGACGTGCAGTGATGATTGCATTGAAGGCTGCACCTGTCCCCCTGGAATGTACTTGAACATCAAAACTGACCGATGTGTGCAACAGTAGGTATAATGTATGGTGCTACCTTTATCATTGTGTACATTTATATTTTCAGATCTAACTGAAGAGCACCTGAATTGGTTCAAACCTTCACCTAGAAAATCAATTGAGTGGCTTGAAGAGGCAGGGAAAAAAGACGTGGTAGATTTAACTACACTCCAAAATTAACCAAACATTAATTTTTGGCCAGAAAATATCAGTATTTAGGTCAGCAGAGAAAATTTAAGGCTTGATGCTTATGGAATAATCACTCTTTTTGTCAGTTTTGTTAGAAGTCCACTCCATAGTATGAGAACAGGACTATTGTGGCCTTCCTATGGCTCCAGTTTTAGTTTGCTGAATGGCGGAATAGGCAAGAGTTTTGGTCAGGACAGGCAAGTAGGAATCCACGTGTAATTCTATGCCAGAGCTAGGTGCTTGGATCCTCACTTCCACTGGCTTGTTCCATTTGTGGCCCCCGTGTTATGGGTTGGCCATAGACATTGTAAACCATTACACTAATACAGGATACAAACCTAAAGTGTAAATTTAATTAAATATTTTTATAATGCCATTTATGTTCTGATATTATAATTTATTTATTTATAATACTGGTTCAATTAATAAATCTACTGATCAAAAGTAAATGATGGCTAATTTAGCTAAGAAAAAAATTATTTATTTTCCTAATGTAAGTCATGCTTCACTTGATGACCAAGACTGTACTCATTGACTGAGCTCCCAAGTTGCAACAAACAGCCTTGCGTGGTTTCCACCATGTTTGTTTTTTGCCCAGATGAGCATGAAATAGGATCACGTGGTTTCTATGTAATTGTGGCCTCCACCCTCCCTGCTCAGTTGGCACATATCTATCACCCATAACACCTGACATGCAATCTCATTAAGGATGGGTGAGGCAGATCTTGCAATTGCTGCTTTTTTCAGGGGGTTCTGCATACCAGGATCATGGAAGTCATTATGTTCGGTTTGGATGATCAGATAAAATATAGTGAAGTACAGAACAGACCATTGTTTCTTATTGTGGTTTCTTAAAACCAAACATACCATGCTGAAATTCATTGTCAGTGTTTGGACAACATGACAGACAGTCCTGTGTAAGAAGCCACCATGGCTTTTTTGTGCTGTATGAACCCATCATCTTGAGAATATATGACAGTGAAACTGTGGCTCATTGTACCTTTTTTGATTGCCATAATAGCATTCATTATCTTTCTTTCTCTCTACTTTTTAAGATAAGTGTGACCAGGATGGACCACTGTTGAAGGAAAAATAATACATACCTTCTCTATAAGTGCTTGGAATGAATTTTGAGCAAGAATTCATTTGACTAGTATATAGATTAATAGTTACTTTGAGGTTCCTACTTCTGCTTGGTGGTTTCTTTATAAGGAGTGGAGTCCTTTTTTCTTTTTTATCCCTTTATAGAAATGAATGTCCCTGCTATTTTCAAGGTATTGACTATCCACCTGGAGAAAATGTAATCACATCTTTGGGAAAATGGTAAGTGATTCTCAAGTCTTGATATAACAACAGACATTTCTGAGAGTTCTGCTAAGCCCAGTTAAAGAAACTATGATGAAATGTATTTCTATTTAGAAACATAGGAACAGAGCAAGTCAGAAGGGGTCTCCCGGGCCTCCTAGTCTCACCCCCAGCTCCAGCCAGCTCTGCTCATGACATGACTACCATGTACATGTTCAATTTAAGTTACAGTAATTATAATTTGTACTTAAGCATATATTAGCAAATACATGTTTTATGTAATCTGTGTCCTCTTTTCCCCTTTTTGTCATCTTTTTTGTTTTGGTGATGCATTTCTGCTTTTTTGGCATTATATAAATTACCTAAATGTACATTGCCACCCTCAATGTAACTGATCTTAAAGGAGGGTCAACAAATGATTCTACTTACTTATGTCATTACATGTTGAGTGGAAGATTCTTGTAATATTACCTTCACTGAAATAGTAAGTAGATTTAGTAATTAGGCCAGATTGCCTTCCAAAGCCCCACCTTTTAGAGGGTAGCATCCAATACTGCCATTCCTTCAATTCATTTGCAACAAGGTAGCATTCCTGACTCTAGTGCTTTAGCAATAGCATCATCTGGTACAACAGGTTTTTGTGGGAAACCTATCATGCCAGTTTACATTGGTGTTGAGGTATTAGAGGGTGTTTCCACTAGTGCTAAATGTGACAAGAGAGTGGAAGTGCTGGATATGATCCAGGGTGCCTACGCTGTGCTTTAGACTTACCTATATATTGCTCTTAAAAAAAGAAAAACTAGTGTGAAGATCTGGTAGAAGAGTTGCATGGAAAGAAGATCTGAAAAATATAGCATACAAGCACTAGTTTTTTTTTTTTTATAAAAAAAACACCTCTTTGACTAGATTCCTAATCTATAACAGCCTTAACTGTTTTTTTTTTTTCCAGCCACTGCAGAGAGGGAATAATGAACTGTGAGGAAGAAAACATAGGTATGTAAAGTAAAGCTTGTATTTCACCCAGATTCTCCCCTTCCCCAGCTAGTTCTGTACTGCCATCTTAGCTAGTGGCTATTGAAACATAACCAACAAAAGGAAAAGACACAAGATCCCATATAAAACCAAGAACAAAGTGATTCTAAAGCATCTGAAAAGCCAAAGTTTTTGTCTAAGTTTCAGAAGAACAAATCCTTCTTCAGAGGCTTCTGAATATACAAACAAACTGTATATAAAATATATGCATTTTAAAGTTTGGAAAAATATAAGTTACCACAAGGAACCACATTCTGTAAATCAGGAGTACAGAACCAGATTTTTTTTGCAGTGAGAGCTGGGTGACTCACCTGTTCAGTATCCATATACTGCTAATGCGCTCAGTGTCATTTGTGCCTCCTCCTGTTGGACAGGTTCATGAGGGAGGAGGCTATCAGTGGCTCCTAGCCTTCCTGGCTGTGTGCTCCCTCCTTGACCATACACCAGTTGCTGAGGAGCTTGGGCAGGAGGAGGTCTTGAATCCATCCTTCATGAGGGATCCTGTGGGCAGCTGGTTTGCCGCAGCATATATGGGGTGCCAGACTAGATGGACCTTTGTTATGACCCGACATGACTTATTTATGTCCTTATGTTCTTAACTGAAAGAGAAGGAAAATATTAACCTGTCCTTATAGCCCTCAAATGGCTAAGGAAGTGGAAATCGCTTCTCTGTTATTTTTGTGTAGTAGCCATTGATAGCTTTATCTGCTATGGAATTGTCTTCCATAGCAGATATTGGCATCACTGAATGTTCAGGAAGTAATTCCACAAATAAATTATACATTGTATGAAAAAATAGTTGCTCTTTACGCTACATGTCTCCTGCTAATAGAACTCAGGAGCTTTTGAGCATCCATTGGGGAAAGTGGGAGAAGTGAACATTTAGATAAGCCACTTCAGAGGAGCAGGAAGGCAGCCGGAGCACTGTCAGATTACCTTGTATTCTGATAATCTCCTATGCTATCCAAAATGGCCCCTTTCCGTCCTCTCTGAGGTGCTTTTCCATCCTCAGAGAAGCAACTTGCATGGTTTTTCTCTGTGCTAGCTTCAAGCTAGGAGAGTGGAATTGGAACACAGGTCTTTTGTTCCAGAACTTTGTTTCTGCCCTGGGATCTGAGAATCTGAAAGCATCATATGGCCATAAGATTGTTGTCCCAGTTAGAGGACCCAAGATCTGGTACTATGTGAAAAGAGAGAAAAGCACTTACCTAGATATGTAGTATTTTAGCCCAGATATATAAATACACGATGGCAGAATTTGGCTGCTATTGCTCACACTGAACAAAGGGAACAAAGCTTTATAGACTGTAGAAAACTGAGTTCAATTTTCTTTGTGCTGTTTTTCTAGCACATGACTGCCCAGATGACCAAATCTATGTAAATTGTAGTAATCCACAAACCATGGAATTTGGCCAGGAGAGAACCTGTGAAAATCACCTGCTAAATCTCACTATCTCTGCACACCTTCCTTGCTTTTCAGGATGCATGTGCCCTCACAGGTAAGTAAATCAGCAACAAACACTCTTTTATATTATAGCCCAATATAAATCCTAGCCCCACTTCAGTAACTAGTATATAATGCATTTGGAGATCTGCATGAGAATACACCCTCCATTGTATTTTAGGTACTTCAAGACAGTTGTTGTATAGGGCCACTCAAAGCTACATAGCACCAATAACAGTCTACTCATGTTTATTCTAGCACAGACTTCATTATCTATTCCTCTGAAGCTTTATTTTTCCCTTTTTGCTTTCCTATACCGCCTACATTAGCCAAGTGGCTTTCTGCACACTACAGTAAATTACCATACAATTACAGCAACACCAAAAGGTGCAAATAATGGGATGGTGCAAATAGTTCAGTGTGATATAATAAATAATAGTAGGTGGCCACTTATCTGATCCTACATTACAGTTCTCATAAATGCTGCCTGGCTGCAATCCTACCTTTGTGTCCTCAGAGCCAGCCTAACTGTGCTCTATGTGCTCTAGGGTAATGCAGAGTGCTGGGGTTAGTATTCAAAGCCTTAAATGGCTTGGGGTCATGCTATCTGAAGGACCCCAAGTGAGTTTCCAGCAGTCCTTCTCCTGGAGCCCCAGCCAGAGGAAGTGAGATGACCTTTTCTGTTTTGGCATGAGCTTCCTAGAGAGACTCACCTGGCAGCAACACCTCCTCAGTGCAAGGTGAACACTTCATTTCCCCAGACATTTTAGACTTCCAGTTTTTTTGCCTTAAATCTGTTACTGTATTTTAAGTCTTTGCAGGGCTGCTGTGTTTTATTTTATATTTATTTTATACTGTAGTTTTAAGCTTTTGTATTGTATTTTGCCATGTTGTATTTTATGGTTTTATGAACTGCCTGGAAAGCATGTGGTTTTATGAACCATTTTTATGAACTGCCTGGAAAGCTTTGGCTGTAATAGCCTCCCTCCATGGTCTTTGTGTGATAGTTTATCTTACTATTATTTATTTATATAAATATATTTACTACAAATCTACTATCATGAGTAAGATTTCCTAATATCCAGGTTGTCTTCTCATGTTACCTAATCAGCTGATATGATAAGGTTCAGCCACAGTCATCAAAAAACTCACGATGTTGACTCTATCAAGTGGGTAATGTCAAGTTTACTTGTATTAAGGGAATGCATAAATCACTCTTAAATTCAAGTACTTTTTGTCAGTGACTGACGCAGTTTTAACGCGTCTTGAATTCCAGTACTATAACACCTTAAAAATAATATTTCAGTTGGTCTTTTGTAGCTGGGCATTCATATTTATAGCACAAATCTTTTAGCCATGCAACATGAATGTGTGACCATGATTACTCAGATTGCTGTTGTGTTAACTTTATGGAAGTGACCAAGAGACAATAATGTTGCTCCCATATAAGGTGTGAGTCAGATGTTACAGAAGAGGGAGAAATGAGAAGATACTCTTTGCTTTTTGGTAGTTCTATTTGCATTTCAGTTACTTAGGGAGACCTCTAAGGAAGAGGGACAATGTGTGGCACGACAGAGGTTTTTAGACTACAGTTCCCATCATCCCTTACCATTGACTACAGCTATCAGTAGCTTCAGTCTTGCAGCAATTGGAGACCTACTTGTTCCCCACCCCCAATAAACAGTGAAAATAGCAGGAACCTCTAAAGTGCAAAAGAAAAATCACAGAAAACTGATCATGGAGAATTTTAATTCTGAAGCTACCTTTGTAAGGTCATGCTCTTCTGTTATGAATCAATTAATAGCTACAGTTCTCTTTTTCAGTACTTATTAAATAGGTTCATCGTTCCACACATTGGAATGATTCATTGTAAGAACACTGAAAGAATTTTACCTTTTATAATCTGGAATGTAATTAAAATAATGACTAAGGAATGCTAAGTAATCTTACAGAAAATTATCTTGTTGGTACGCATGAGGAATGAACTGCAGCTATTCTTACATAATAATAGATAATAATGGTCAAAACACAATGCAGTTTGGGAGTGCATTAACCCATATTTCTGTCGAATACTGAGCTGTCTGGAACAAATACCGAAATTTAGGTGAGATTATATACAAGAAAGGTAGTATAAGATGGAATGGTGAAAAATAGTACTAAAAAGTAGATGTAATGAGACAAAAAATGTTTGACCCTTTTCCTTAATGTTGGGCTTGTCTATGTGAGCATTTATGCTATTTGTGAAGGAATTAAATTGAAGCAGAAATAACATTTTTAAAAAACTTTTCTTAAAAAGTGTTTAATTCACTGAAAAGTAAACAGTACATATGTGAGGAAAATAGATTCAACAATAACTCTCTTTGTTTTATACTGGTACAATAACTCAGGATTACAGTAATCAAATGTGGTAGTAGGAGAAATGTGAGTGCTTTGCTGTTCCTTTGCCAGTACTTCCAAGTCCCACATAAAGGAGTGGAAATCTGAAGAGAAATGGGTGCAGGACTCTGTCTCTCTTGCTCTGCCATTGCTTCTTCATCCCATCAAAAGTGGTTTTTAATGATGGCTGCATTTAAAATTTATAATGGGAACAGTGCAATTCTCAGTTTTTCCTGTCGGTTTCACCACTATGTCAGTGTATGGATTCGTGCGTATTTTGGGGATCAGCATGGATAGCAGTGGCTGTTACTGCTAGCATAGCATTTGATAGAAATGCCAATGAAATTAGATCACATCTGCATAGATTTTAGCATCTGTGAACAGGTGCATTTCAATTTATCTGTAGCCAATATATAGAACATTGACATTTAGAAATAATAGAGAAGGGAAAAAGTCATTTATCATCTAAATAACATTTTGTTTTTATGAATTCTTTGATCATTGCAATCAATCTGGCTGTTTGGCCTTTCAAGAGAGAAAGCTGTTAGCACTTGTTTTATGAAGTATAATATTACAGAGATGGAACTTGCACTTTCGTCTTGCCTTGCCAAAATGATGCTCTTTGTTTCTGAATGTGGCCTATTTAGTTGGTAGCTTAAACCAGTGGGAATTTTCTACCTTGTATGCCATTATCTATCCAAGAAAGTGATTGAACACTTGGAACACTAAAGCTCACAAAAATACTTGATATGCTATAAAGAAAACTAGACTTGTAAAATCTCTACATTGTAGAAATTGCACTTTATTTGCAGCATCTCCCTTTCTAAATGGATATATTTGTTAATCTGGCACTGATTGCCTAACATCTATTCTTGAATGCTCAGCAGTTGATTTATATGTTATTCAGTCTGGAGAATCTATCAGAGCCATTCTTCTGTAAGAATGTCTAGAAGGGGAAGAACAACTTACTCCTATACACTTGTTTAATCTCTTTTTTGCATGGAGAATATATTTATTTATTTATTTATAAAATTTGTATGCCATCCATTACTTGCATCTCTGGACAGCTTACAGCATACCCTTGAAGACGGTCCGGATACTTCAATTGGTGCAGAATAGAGCTGCCAGGTTGCTGACAGGGACTGGGCGTTGTTCTCATATAACCCCAATTCTCCGTCAGCTCCACTGGCTCCCGATTGAAGTCCGGGCCCAATTCAAGGTGTTGGTTATGACCTATAAAGCCCTAAACAGCTTGGGACCTGGATACCTAAAGGAACGCTTGTGCCCATATATGCCCTCCCGCCCCTTGAGATCAGCAATGGATGCCCTTCTCCGGGAACCCTCTGTGAATGATATTAGGAGGGTGAGTACCCGGGGGAAGGCTTTCCCTGCGGTGGCGCCCCATCTATGGAAGACCTTTTTATTTAAAACTTATTTTAATTGTTATTGAATTAATTAGTATTTAAAAATTTTAGCCGAGAATGCACCAGGGGCTTTTTTAACATTTTTTTTAATTGTTACATTATTATTATTTATGTATGCATTTATGTATTCTTTGTGAGCCGCCCCAAGGCTTTGTTGTGATGGGGGTGGCATAGAAATGTTTTAAATAAATAAATAAATAATAGATCAAAATAAAATAGATTAATTGACAATTCCACTCTGGCTGCAATCAATAAAATATAAACAATAAAATCCAATATTAGGTGACTTTCCCTTTTGCATTAAGATGCATTATCTCTTGGTATTTCTTATCCTGCATGTGGTACAACTATTAGATTAAGCATTTGAATGCATTCCCAGGCCTGGCATCAGTGATTGGTTCCTTTGGTTACTTGATGATGGCCTGAACTCTAAGCAAGCTCTAGCCAGGGTACCTGTAACTAGGACCCACCATTTGAATTCTCCCTTAGGAATCTGTCAGGGTCCTAGCAACACGGTGCAGGAGTTGAAACGATGGGCACCAGCAGTGATGCATTTGGCTAGGCTAGCTTGTTTGTGCCACATGTGCTTACTATTGTCAGGGTGGAGGGAGGGAGACCACAATGGCAGAGTAAACTGATCCCTGTGCAAGGCAAGAACCTGTCCCTGTGCAATTCTGTAGCAGGAACCACACAAATATATGCATCTTTGCTTAGCAGGAGATGCTCTTTAAGTCACCAAGCAACCTTAAAATTAACACCCCTTTACTTTTGGTGCATTTCAGAATATTGCAGTTTTCATTAGTGATATAACTTTATCTATTTATTTATTTATAGCATTTCTAAGCTGCCCAGTTGGGCCATTGCACCTCTGGGTGGCTCACAACCAGAAGATAAAAACACAGTAAAAACATAATAAAACCAATAACACATTAAAACCAGTGATAAAATACAGCAAAAAACAAAACAAAACAAAGGTCTTATGGCAATTAGTTACTAAAATATATTTTAAAAAAGAAGGTCTTTGCCTGGCACCAAAAAGAAAGTAAAGGCGGCACCAGGCGAATCCCCTTGGGGAGAGCATTCCAAATATGGGGAGCAGCTGCAGAAAAGGCCCTCCTCCTAGCGGCCACCCTTCTCACCTCCTATGGGATGGCTCACACAGGAAGGCCCCCTGCATAGATCTCAAAGGACAGGTAGCCACATACAGGTGCAGGTGCTCCCTAAGATAGCTGGCTCCTAAGCCATTAAGGGCTTTATATGACCGAGTCATTGATTTTCATAGGAGGAATGCACCTCTGTGGATGCCCCAGAGCTTTAAGAGCTAAAGAGCATTCCAGATCAGCTCATGTCAGAAGACCAGAATGAGCCTGAGCTTCCAGGAGATGGCTGTGGGTCCATCCCTGTAAAGCACTCAGAACTCTGCATTTGAGGCAGAAGCTAATCAAATTCCTTTCCCCCAAGAGCACTGTTACCTCAAGAGACATGCCACTGAGGCTTCCTTAATCAGAACCCCTGTACATAGTACAAACTATGTCTGAGATCTGGGTGGAGCTCAAGAGGCTATGGAGGTATAAGCCTTCAATTTCAGCCTAGTTGGTGCTGAAAACAACATTATTTCAGCTCCAGCATCTTGTATCTTGTTTTCTGAGGCTTGCCTTGTGATGGACCTGAGGTGCCACTGACCCTTAACTGGATCTCTGCAGCCTTTGTGCTCAACTAGTTGCCTACTTGTTGCCTTGTTCTTTGGATTGAGCCATAATTTCCTCTGACACTGAGTCTTGTTCATCCAAAGCAGGGTACTGTTCTGGTTTGTATTATCACTGCAGCTCACCACTTCTTTAAGCAATGGCGAGTTGAAACATCCATGCAGCAAGGTTACTGTTTCAATTTCCTTCCCCTACTCACAGCTTTTTCCATCATTAGGACTTAGTGAGGGTGGCTTGATGGAGTCCAGAGTGGATACAGGTTTTGGGCAGTTTCTGAACCACCCCAACAAGCCACGTCACTGGGTTTACATGACACAAGATGCTACACTGCTTTGGGTAATTGTCTAAACCAAGGTGACATGTGACCAGCATATACAAGGTAGTTAATGAGCCAGTGGCTTATACCCCGGCATCGTGTCATGTACACTGACCCAGTCTTTCATCAACATTTGGTTGGAATCATACTAATTACTTATATTGCTGATTTATAGTACTTGGTGCTAACAGTAATGGTTGATTCTAGTTTTGTTATGATTTGCGCCTTCTCAGATTTTTATCCCCAACACTTTGACAAGATAAAATAACTCAAGATAAAATTTCATGTCAGATGCATTCTGTTTTGGGATTATCACCTCTAGATAATTCAAGTACAGAGATTTTGCCAAAATAAAGTGAGAGGGAAATACTAACATCACAGTCAGCTATCTGATGGTGCCCATGACTTAGATGCTCTGTACCATATGTCATCCCCTTCCTCTGAGTCACTCATCCTTGGAAACATACGCAGGGCTGTTCTTGACTATATACCTCATTCTGTACAATTCATCCTGCCCCCAAACGCCATCATTAGATATTTTCCGACAGAACCACTAGAGTCATCTTCAGCAAGGTCTATTTTCTTATTTTATGTACAGTGAGAAGGCTGTTCAGTGTCAGCCAGAAATCTGTCTATACAAGCTGTTTTCTAGTATATGTAAATATAATTGAGAGTCTCTATCTGATATTATTGTTAAATTTGACAGCCTTGTTAAACATGGGGATACATGTTTCAAGCCAGATGAATGTCCATGTACTTGGAAAGGCAAAGAGTATTTTCCTGGAGACAAAGTAATTTCTTCCTGCCATACCTGGTGAGTAAACATTTTTTTAAAATTTCATGATGCATATATAATAATGCCATGATGGTTCTGAATTGCTGATTTTCCTTTTTCCATATTAGAATTTATAGTCTTTGATTTAACTGAATTTTATTTTTATCAAAATAAATATTTGTAAATAGTTTTAAATGGCCAAGGCTCATAAATCATGAGGTGGATTGTTTGAGAATGAGTCATGATGAGTCCAACAGGTGATAAGGTTCATTGCAGGTACTTTGCTTTGTCCCTCCCCTTGTTCCACCAGGTGTTATCAGCTCACTGTGACTATCCGAGAGACCCCCTCATGCAAACAGAACTCATGTCTTAAAGAACAGCGGGGTCAGCCGGCCCCAGGGAATTTGACCCCATTGCATTCTGGAGCACAAGCCCTGCTTGTACTACAGGTACAAGGAACCACTTTTTTAAAAAGCCATTTGCCTCCATAGTGTAATTTCCTAAAGTGTAATGGGGAGGATGCAGGAGCTGATTGAGTACCCCTTTCTTTTGTTCCCCTTTGAAGTGGGGTGACCACTTGGCAGCAGCACTACAGCTATGGAGCAGCACCACTGGGTGAATCATGTCCTCCTGTCCCCTGCCCAAGAGGCAGATCTGCTTGGTGGCAGTGCCTTGAGCATGGGGCGTTCTGCCTCCTGTGTGGGAGGTTTACGCTCAGGCAGGAGGTGGAAGGAAGTGGGGCACCTGATCTGCTCCTCTGCATTGCTGTCCTGATCATGGAGCAGGAACCATGGTTGGGATCTGCACTTGAGCTGCTGGCAGGGGAAATTCATTGGGAAAAAGATGGAATAGCAATTAACACAAATTTAAAAATTGATTGGTGCATTAGGAATACACCTTCTTCTCTCTGTCCAAACACATGTTTTAAATTCCACAGATAAAAAGCCATCGGAGTGATTTGACCTCGGAGAAGGGTCACGTACCACATCTCTCCCCACTACTTACCTGCTTTGAATTTCTTTCTGCCAAAGGAAAGGCATTGGGCATAACATGTACTAGCATGTCATATAGATTAGCCCCTGTGACCCCAAGGAAATATAAACTTTCTTCCCTAAATTTGTTTCCATTCCCAATATATATGTATCTACTTGCACTGTGTATTTAAATTGCCTTACACTCCATAATTCTAATGGAAACCAAGCTTCTTGGAGTCATAAGCAACTTCTATTACACTACTTGTGTGGAACAATGAAAAGATGAACCTGGTGTCTGGTTTCATCAGTGGTTCATGCTTCTAATGCCTTTCTTACAAAAGATTTTAGTTATAACACCTGAACAAGTTTCTTCTAAGTTTATCCTCAGTGAATGCTGACAAACTTTAGTTTCCATAAGGGTTCTGGCATAAGTCATTCCAACAACAACTGGATAACAGTTATAAGGCATGAAATGTCATCCCAATTTATGCTTTTTCTTTCTGTCGTCTAGCAATGGTATTATGGAGTTCAACCACCTCAGAGTTCATGCATCAAGCGATTATACAACACTATAGTTTAAATCAGCATCTCTCTGTTTTCCACTCAACTCCTATTAATTGGGTTAGCTCATTTATTCCAAATGAGACCTGCAGAGCTCTACTGAGCTTAAAGTAATACAGGCTGTTCCAGTCGGCACTAGTCCATGCCTTGTCTGGATGTCTTTGCCCACTCCAGCCTTGTGCTGACTGACTGCATCTGCCTCTTGTCAGGTTCTCAATAGCTGCTCTAGAAGACATTTGTAGCCTTTTGGCCGACTAGTGAAGCGACTTACGAGCCATCTCTACTTGGCGGGAAGGTAAAGCGATCCCGGGTTACCTCCCTTCTTCCCTGAGGCTCATACCTATGTAGCTTTCACTGATTCTTTGCAGATGAGCAAATGCACACACAAGCACACACATGGACCTATTCCCTGATGGAAAAATCTATTAAGAAATGGTAGTAATTCCGAAGACATTGGGCAATAATTTTTCTTTATGCCTTCTCAAATGGGAAAAAGTGTTAGCTGAAAAATCTAAATCAAATTCTTAGTGTCATATACTGCAACAGGCTAACTAGGTTATTAGTGTTTTCTTTTATGGTTTTGTGAATCTTTGTCACAGTATAAACTTTCAATCCTTGTCCACCAACATGTTATAAATCTCCACCAGGTTTTGCTTGTAGGTAAAAAAAGTATGTTTACAGTATACTGAAGGTGAGTTTGGTAAAATGTAAATACATATTGTTGTTGTTGTTTTGTTGTTGTTATTATTGTGGTTATGTGAAGCTTATGATTCAAGTGAATATTAAAATTGGAACTAGCTTAACATGTTGACGAAGCATGAATTAAATTTGTTATTACTTTGATGCTGTATGTGGTGGGAGCTGGACTTATTTTAATTATATTTTGTAAATATATATGTGGATTTAAAAAGATAAATACCTACATAGGAACAAGGTTTATTTTTCAATATGTCATCTATTATTTATGTTTTGCATATGTTTTTAATGAGGCATTCAGGTGGACTAAATTCTTTCCTAATACTTTGAAATTCTCCCTAATTTTTTTCTATACTAGTTCAATTTAAAATTATACAATATCAGGGTTAGCATAATGTGCTGATTTTTCATTTGGCAAGAAAGCATGAATGATATTTCCTAGTCTCATCTTGTGAAGCAGGAAAACACATGCATATTCTCACTTTTCTGTATACTCAATAAGAAACATGAGAGCCAGTGTGGTGTAGTGGTTAAGAGCATGGGACTGGGACTCAAAGGATCTGGGTTCCAATCCCCGCTCAGCCATGGAACCAACTGGGTGACTTTGGGCCAGTCACAGACTGTCAGCCCAACCTACCTCACAGGGTTGTTGTTGTGAGGATTAGATGGAGGAGGAGATATAAGCTGCCTTGAGCCCTTTGTAGGAAAAAGGCAGGATATAAATCGAAAAAAATAAATAAAACATGTATCTTATTTCCAATATATAGACATACATACACACAAAGTTGCTAACTTTATGTGTATGCATTTGTATTTTCCTAAACAAAAATATTTGTTAAATTGCTTCACTGTTAAAGCAAATAAATGTATTACATATGGAAAATCCAAATACATAATGCGTGTTCTGTGAGGTAAAAATATCAACCTTAGTTCCTGGCTTTTTACAAAAGACGCATACTTAGCATATACCATTGTCAGTTTGATTTAATCAAACGTATTGTCCTTCCCAAAGTAGGTTACCATGAAATCATTTCTGTTTGTCATTACAGCATTTAGTTAGGGTCAGCAATATGCCTTGGACATGGAGGTCAATACACAGGTCACCCTATTATTTTCCTAAGATGGCTGTAAATCTGAAAAAGCATTAAGCACATGGATCTTCATAATTCATGGAAATGTATAGGTAGTTTTGTTTGTTACAATGATAGCTTGGAAGGAGTATCAATAATGTGAAGGATGATTTTTTTTAGTATTTTGCTTTCATAAGAGCTTACCATAATTGTCAGTGTAGTAACTTTTGAGACTGTAATAATGGTTTCCCCCTTACTTACAGCATCTGCCATCATGGGTCATTTGAATGCACTTTCCACCCTTGCCCATCAATGTGTACAACATATGGAGATCGGCATTACAGAACTTTTGATGGACTTTCTTTTGATTATATTGGAAATTGTAAGATTTACCTTGTTAAGGTAGGACCTGTTTAAAAACCATTTTGCATACAGTCCTACGGGAATGAATGCCTTTAAGCCCCAGAACTTGGAGCTTCATGGCATGTCTGCCTCCATTTTCTTCCTGCTCCACATTTTTGCTACATGGACTTTTTTGGCCTTCTGTTGTCCAAGCCCCAGAGGTGGAGGGAAAGAAGTGGAGAGGCTGTATGCAGTACAACTTATGCATGGTTGAATGAAGTTTGTTATTATAGTATATGAAAAGACTTGCGATTTTTTTGTTCTGTCAATGAAATGAATACATACAAATATTTATTTAATTAATTTATTTAAAGCATTTCTATGCCGCCTCGTTCGCAAACAGCCTCGGGGCAGCTTACAAAAATACAAATACATTGATGTTTCCCCTCTTATTTTTTTAGATAAATACAACCATAAATACAATCACAACAATAATAATATAACATAACAAGAACACAATAATTAAAAAAGAATAAATGAAAAAGTGCACCTACCACCCTGGAGACCAATACTACCATCATACACATACTATAACAATTAATAATATATAATATACTTCAATTATACCTGTATTCCCCTCCAGAAATTCGTATAATCTTGATTGGGTTTACAGCCTTTGCCTTCTATCAGTACTGCTTTTACAAAATCTTCCCAGATTTCATTATATTCATTCACTTTCATTAACCCTTTTTAAATTTTTATTTCTGTCATCAGTTTATCATTAATTACCATATTCCATATTTCATTATATCATTCATGCCTTTGCAAAACCCAATTTTGTTTCCAAAAATACATTGAAGTTGTTGGTAACATGAATAGGCAGCTGCAGCAAACCAGGCAATGTGATACATGATTTAACTTAAAGGTGTAACTTCCTGCTTGTCTGCTTTCTGTTTTGTTGGTGAAACCCACCAATTACATCTCTGCTCCTTGTTATCGCAAAGAAGTTATCCTAGAAAAAGAAGCGCAGTCTGTGTGTGTGTGTGTGTGTGTGTGTCCCCATAAAAGGCACTTTCTAAACTGATATGGAAAAAGATCATAGGTTCTTCTTCATTTCTAGAGTTGGCTGGTGAAAGACATCTCTTCGTGGGGGGCATTGCAAGGTGGCTGTGATGACATGGTGCAAGCACATAGCTACTGAATGTCTAGCAACACACAGCATGCTGTCTGAACTGCTCCTGGCCTCCACTGCTACGTTTTTAGGCCTACCAATAAAGCTTGTGGAACTAGCATCATGCAGCTGCTGAATGCTGTCTGTGGTTGGTGATCAGTGGGATGAGCCTCTTCCTGCCAGTGGCATCACCTTACCAGCCACCTCTGCGTCTTTAACATAATCTGGAGTTAGAGGGAGGAAAGGAAGTGGTTAGCTTGGAATGCTGAGGCAGTGGGCATGAACAGGTTGTTTTCTGTCAAATGTTCGCAGATTATGCTAAGCTCTAGGAATGTAGAATGTATAGATGCTTATACACCAAATAGTAAAAATAATTGTGCATTAATAAGCAGCAAAAACATACGTATCTTACATGATTGCCTGATTTTCCTTTTTCAGAGTACTTCAGTGATCACTTTTTCAATAATTATAGAAAATGTTAGCTGCTTTAATACTGGAATCATTTGCAGAAAGTATATTTTCATTAACATTGGGAAATCATTCATAATATTTAATGATGACACTGGAGATCCGGTAAGCTTCAGCAATGTAGAAAGATCAATAAACAGACATGCTTATGTACCAAGCATTAAAGATATAAACATACTAATTAGGCTGTAAATATATACATAGCTTATATTATAAATGCCTGTTGCCTTTGAAACCTCAAAACAGTGCAGATTAGCTAGTCATGAAATTGTTTATCTCGGTGTGAGCTTATGTGGACTCCGGGGGTGCTGGAGGATAGGAAGGCCTGGAGGAGTGTTGTCCATGGGGTCCCAATGGGTTGGACGCGACTTTACAACTAGCAAGCAAGCAAAATTGTTTATATCTGTAGAAACTGAGAATATGGGAAATTGTCAGGGCAGTTGTCTGAGAGGCAATTCAGCAGAATGCCAATCCACAAAGGCATCTTATTAAATTATTATGCCAAGTTGTGCACTTTCTTTCAACACAAAGTTCTTGGACAGTTTACTTAAAAGAAAAATTCAAAGATAATTCAAATGAATTGTAAATTATTGGGCTTTTTTTCTGCCTGTGTGGATTTCATAGAGCATATAGATCAGTAATCCGGTTAGATTTAGCTTAGAAACGAGCAATAAGTTCAACCTGTTTAGTGCTCAGTACTGGTAAACTTACCATGTTTTTATTGAGGACACCCTGCATTTTGGCAATGTGGGAAGGGTCATTGTGGGGTGTGTGAAGCTCATGTGCCATATGTTTCCCAACCATGACCTAGCTGAACAATTGATGTTCTCCAACAGTATGAGCATAACACATATTAACAGCTTCTATGCTCTTGTTTGTGTTTTACATTGGGCTATTAGCAGGAAGTTACATATAATGGAAGTGCTAACATATGTGTCAGACAAGGTAATGGGCATGTTTGTGTGTAACACAGTCCATCCTGGCAATGAGCCATGGTGGGTTGCTTGCTGGACAAATCACCCATAGACTGACTGACGGTCAGGTTCACTGTGAATTGTTGGATTCCTCCCTCTCCTTCCTACTATCTTGAGTCTACCCACAAGGATCTCAGGAGACCTGTGAGAGGACTGAGTTGTCTCCCTCCACTCCCTTCTACGAATGTGAGCCGTTGCAGGCTTGCCATGGCTATTTTTTTCCCTCTTGGCTGTTTAAACCTCTTTGTTTATGGAAATTGTTAAAGGTGACTGTTAAACTGGCTTTTGTCGACTGTTTTGACAGCTATGGGTAGTCCCTTCGAAGTGTCCCAGTGGCAGTTTTGGGAGGGCAGCCCAAGGTTGCCAAACATTTTAAAATTTGTTTTGCAGCACTAATTTTAGCACATAGAAGTTTTTCCAGGGTTGCATAGTTGCAAATGACCATAGTTGTGCAGGTGTGGGAATGGGGGATTCTTGCTGCCATCCCCCCTCCCAAAAGTGCAAGTAAGTTTATTTTCCCTGTGGTTCCATCTAACAGTTGTCAAAATAAAAGCTCTCAAGTATACCTAACAGTTTGAGTGATCTTAACTCATAAAGGGAAGTGGTTCATTCATCTATTAATGGCTAGATCCTTGCAGGCGGATGTGTCCTAAGGATGCTTTCAATTTTGCGCTTGCTCCTGATATTCTACCATCTCAGGATTAGTTTATTCTGGTCACTCTCAAAAGTAAAGATCCATCATTAAGATGGGATTTTGAAAGGGTTAAAAATCAGAGGGGCAGGACACTGCAAGACTCTGTATACCTGTATAGTATACTGTTCCTGTTCCCCAAATATTTCTGGGTTGTCAAGGTTGCTTGTTACTCTCAAATAAGCCACGCTAAGGGAAATGCTCACGCCACCTGCAGTCCCTTCTGGGTTTGCACAACATGGCAAAACATTGCAGGTGGCAATAATGTTGGACTGTTTTGACATGCAATCCCAGTCAATATGTAACATGCAGAGGACAATTAGATGAATTTTGCATGATAAAGGCTTTGTCCAAAGCCATTTTTAAGAATAATGTTTCTTGGATTGCACCCATTATTAACCTCAGATGAGCTGAAAAAATCAGAGATATATAACAAATAACATTAGCCTAGATAGAAAGTCTTCTCCTAAAATGAGCTTTAAAAGTAGTTTTGGGATGGCGGGGGGATATTCATTGCATTTCTAATCTCAGTAACTAATATTCTCTTCTTATAAGCTTCTTAGAAGATCTTATGTAGCATGCTGTGTGTAAACTGGCTTTTCTTTTAACAGAGTCCATTAAGTTACATAGATAAACTACAGCAAATATATCTCTGGAAAGCAGGATTTTTTACACTTGTTTATTTTCCTAATGAACAAATCACAGTAATGTGGGATCAAAGAACAACTGTTCACGTAGAGGCAGGACCTCAGTGGCAGGTAAGCAAAAATTGCCTCATCTTATTAGGGTCATGATGTATTTACAGAGAAGTATGTTGAAGCCCTGTTGATTATAGTTGGAGTCTTTTAAGTTTGTGCTTAAGCCTCCCTCAGAATTCAATGGTTTTTCAAAGGGCTTGGATGTGTCTTATGCTTCTAATATTGGAAGGCTGCCCTAACAGTTCTTTGTTGATTCCAATTAGAATGTTAAACAAAGATTCAAAGGGAGTAGATGATTTAGGCATTGACACATCTAAGGTAAATGCAGTTATATATTGTATTATTCATGTCTAAGACAACACCTACCATGACAGCTAATGCTACATCTGTTTTTATTATTGGATTATAATAAAACTGGACTGTTTCTGTGCTTATCCAACAAATTAGAGAATATCTAGGTACTGCTTTTCTCTGATATCCCCATGGAAAAGATTATATTCCAATTTAACCTTTTGCTAAGATAGATTTGTTGAATAAACTATCTTTAATTATTTGTATTTATTTCCTTATTTAAAACCTTTCTAGACTCCCTTACCGAGCTCTCGGGATGGTTTAATTATAAAACAATGTAAAATAATACATAGTGTCCTAAAAAATTCCAACCAACAATAAAACTCCAATTAAAACAATCAGATCTTAAAACACTGGGTAATATTACCTGTTTATGTATCTGTGTAGTGTATATTTGTTAAACTCTTTACAAAGGGGATATTTTATTAAGCTACTGAAGCTATGCTCTAAATAATCAAACCAAATACATGATAGTTTATATTAAATTTGAAGAAAGTATATATAAATACAGAAACTCTTTATATTCACTTGTTGAAACGAATCAGTACATTACTGACAAAACAAGGCCTTTGGATTTAAGAATGATGCCGAATATTACCAACTGAGACTATGAGGCTGCACAGCTAATGAGGCATAGAGAGTCTCCTTTTAAACCAGTTTGTTTAATGCATGTGCAACTGTATTCAGGACATCCAGGTGTAGGGAAGGGAGTGGCTTACAGTTCATATTGCTACATCAGACTGCTACAGTCTAATCCATCTGCATTCATCTTTAATATAAATTTGGATTCTTCTGTGTTTGTGTTACAGCAAAGACAGATTGCAACTATTTTTATATATTTACTAATATTTATTTATATATTTAACTTCTATATCGCTTAACAGCCAAAGCTCTCTGGGCGGTTCACAACAGCATGTAACAGACAACATTAATGTACAGTGTATTTTATGCATTGGAATATCGGGTGGTGTTGAAGAAATTTAGTGTTTATTTGTCCAAAAGCCAGCCTTTAATTTATTTCTGCAATTTGCTTAGACCTTCAGAAGAGATAAAGTTTTGCCTATATCTTTGAAGGTCTTTGTGAGAAGTCCTTCACTTTCTTCTACTAGCACTAAGCATATGACAATTCTTTTGTACCAGTTACAGATGACTCACTTGCAGTTTGCTTCCAGGCTGATTTCAAAAGGGATTGATATCTTTAAAGCCTGAAAGAGTATGGAACTAGGCTACCTGGATGTGGTGTAGTGGTTAAGAGCATGGGAAAGAGAAGCAGGCAATCTGGGCTGTAGTCTTTGCTCACCGTGCTATAGGGTTGTTGCTGTGGGGATTAGACTGAGAGCAGGAGAAGGAGAATGATGTAAGTTGCTTTGAATTCTTCAAAAAGAAAAAGGGTGGGATAAAAGTTTAATAGTAAACCATAATTTCCTTTATATCGTAATTATCAAGAGTAATTCTACTAAAGTCAGTTTAATAAATATTGACAACAATATTTTTGTAAGAATTCTAATTGCTTTGGAGAGAGAGGAATTACAATATCTGGGTGGAGTCTACAAATGATGCAAACTGAATACTTAAATATTTATATATTAAATTCAGAAGAATAATGGCTCTTGGTTAATTATTTCAGCAGAATGTCAGTCAACAAAGTACAGTTCCTTTGCATATCACTTTAGTAATGTAGCATCTATGAGGTTGAATGGGTATGAGCAACACCCGCAGAAGAGATTATACTGGTGTAAAGAACCATGTCAAATCAGTCAGGGTTTCTCCATGTTTGGAATGATGTCATGCTGCAGGGGTTCCTTCGGCCTCTGAGCTAGTGTAGACATAGGAATTCTGAACTTCTGTATTTAGAATGGAAAATATATATGCCATCGACTGGATGTGTTAACTTTGCCTTCTTTCTAGGGTAAGCTGACTGGTTTATGTGGAAATTTTGACTCAAAAACTATAAATGAAATGAGGACTCCAGAAAATTTTGAGTTAACAAATGCACAAGAATTTGGGAGTAGCTGGGCAGCTGTAGAGGTAAATGTCCAGAGCATCATTTTTCATACTGTTGCAGTGCATAGTTCTTCTATTGTTTCTCAACAATAGCCTGCTATAGGTGTTCCACTTCTGTGAATAATCAATACATGAGGCAGAATATTACTACTGGAAATGGAAAGCTCATGCTGTGGGTGAAATACCCAAATAGCCTACAACTTGTTCTTAGCTTAACTCTAGTTTATTGGTTTTCATGTCAAACAACAACCTTGCACAGATTGAAGATAGTTTATGCAAAGCAGGAGTGACTCGTTTGTGGCACAGAACCCAAGAAAGTGTGGGTTAATAAATTAACTCATAATTTGCTACTGTGGCATGCCAACTTATTCCCTCTGACCTAGTATAAGTTACACATCTTGGTTATTTCAAAAGTTAGAAGTAATACAGATTATAAAGATATTCTTCTGGTTTATGATTTTGCTTTTGGATTCAGTGTGCTGACAGCGCTGATAATCGGCACCCATGCATCTTAAATCCACTCAGAGAACCATTTGCCAAAAAAGAATGTGGAATACTATTAAGTGACATATTTGAATCTTGCCATCCAGTGGTGAGTAGCAATTAAAAAATAACAGTGTTGAGCTTTCTTGTTTATCAAAAGCTTAGTGTATTACTATTTTCTAATACCCCTCCTGATTCCAAAGATTCATCACCAGGTTCTTTGAGTGCCTCTTGAATTTACGCATATACGTAGTATAGCAAATTGCAACATTCAGGTATAGCAGAAAACACTGATCTTGTGTTGGATCTACAGTTTGATTCTAAAATATACTGCAGTAGTAAAGCAACACTTAGGAATGGCATCATTCCTAGATAATTTTCCTGAACTTAGTGTGTGGCTCAGATACTTACTTGGTCCAGGTGATCTCCCCTGCAGTTGCACAGTACTGCTGTTTATCCATCTGAAATTCTGTGCAGACTCCCATCAGCAGCAGAGGCGAATCTCAGGCACTGATTATTTGCCACAATCATACAGTCTTAGCATCACATCTGTAACTACTGCAATGACTCAGTTCATACAAAGCATGTTTCCAGATGATCTAGTTGCCAGAAGGCTTGCAAGCAAATCTGATACATTACAACCTGTGATCTCAGGATGACCAAGTATTTGAAGAAAGCCACTCATTCATCACCTGATTTATTGTGCTGTTTTGTTTTGTTGACCCAGTGTACACATAGTCCTAGAGCACCAGATTATAATGACTGTGATCACCACTGCTTGTTTGTTTGTAAGTGAAAGAGGCAGGTGGACTAACCTGGAATAACCTGAGCATTCCATGTATAATAAACTGTATTGATTGGAATGATCTGTGCTTGTGGTGATTAGGATTTGTGCTGCCATAGGATTTCTGCTGGCCCTTTTAGTGCCACGATTTAAGACTTGACATGGGACAGAGAAAGTTAAATGCTTTTATTGTTAATTCTTTACCATTTTAACAACCACCAAATGCTGCCTTTAAATATTAGAATATCAATAAATGTGTTGTTTATTTTTTGTCAATATAGATATCATATGAATTAACATCTGAAAGTGTTAATTTCCCACTAATTACCCATTAAAATACAAAAAAATAAAGCAAAGCAGAACATTTATGAATATTAAAGCATGTAGGCTAGGATTCTAATTAGGCATTGGTGAAGGAGCCTTTCAATTCACAGAAATTTGTGTTCAAATGAAGAATCTCATTAGTGGAAGGAGGGCGGTAATGTGGAATGATTTTCCCTTCCACTACAGTCCTTGCAGTTCCAGAGGTCTCCCAGTCCTCTGGATCAGATTTTCAAGGATACAGGAGGTTGCAGGGAAATGCGAATTATGGAAAGTAGCCTCCCGATATCTGCCAGTGGGAGCCTCTATGAGCAGAATTCCACTCCGGAGCTGGTTGGGCGAGCAGCAACAAATTCAGGCTGGTCATAGTGCTAATCTTGTATAATTCAAATAAATAGTAAACATTGCATGTCATAGTTTACTGGAATGAAGTAATGGTCTGAAGTATGTTTTTTCAATAAACTTGTACCTATGCTGAAAATTCTGTTGGCAGTGTTTGCATAGGCAATTATATAATAATGTTTGTCCTCTTCAGGTTGATGTCACCTGGTTTTATTCGAACTGTTTGACTGACACGTGTGGTTGTAATCAGGGAGGGGATTGTGAGTGTTTCTGTACAAGTGTTTCAGCCTATGCACATCAATGTTGTCAACAAGGAGTTACAGTAGACTGGAGAACCCCTAGACTGTGTCGTAAGTATGATAATTAGAGAGCATTTTGTCAGTCCGTACCTTCAGTCTGATCTTTGTTCAAACAAGGCCTTGTTTTAGAAAAGTTTGCCTGTTGATTCAGCTTGGTACAGTTCACTTCTGCAACCAACTAGTTGCTGCAGTGTATGCGCTGCTAGTGAGGAAATTTAAGCTCTTTTGAATAGCCTTTCTTTCATTTAAGAAATCAGCTACAACTGGTGTGAGTGAATAGCAATTCTCCTGTACTGTGTTACAGTGACCAGTGTTTCTTTAGTGAACTGCAGTGATCACAAAGATTCAATTGTATGTCAGATGTCGCTCAGAAGTACTGGTCATGTCAACTTTTTATCTTTTCTGCAATAGGAAATCGTGTTCTGCATAGTGGTGTCTTTGTACCAGAGCCGGCCTTTCCATACGAGTAATGGATGTTATCATAACCTGTCTTTGTTTCCAGATCCAGTAGTTGTAGGCTGAGTTCATTACTCAGAAGTTCATGTGTTCTGCTGTTTCCCTCAATATCTACAAATCAAACTACTCCTGCTGTCACCCTGTTAAATGACCTAAGCTGCCACAAGTGAGAGTTAGCTGGATCTTCTTATGTGACAGAAACCCTTTTCTCAAAGAACTGTTCAATTTGTAGTGCCAAACTCTCCAGCTCCTTTCCATTTTAAACAGAAGTTCTAAAACAAAAAGTCTGAGTGATCCAGATTGCTTTACATGCTTCCAAAGTAATTTTCAAAGGAGGGCATCATGCATGTGCTCTCCGGGAAATTACAAAAGCTACTGTATGCACAATTACACATCCATCCCACTGTGTAGTCTCCCAGCTCTGCACATATCTCAGATGTATGCAAAGGGTCGGTGCTTCAGCGCACCATGCAAGCCACCCTGTTTGCTGAATTGAACAACAGCAGCAGGGACAACAACAACCCATGTTTTGTATGACAGCAGGCAATTGTTTCCTTGACAATTAATTGCATAAATTTGCATGTTAATTGCAATCCCAAAGAGGAGTCACTGACAATCACAGTTCGACTATGTCTTAACTCATCTTATTCTTCCTTGTGTGCACCATATTTATAAATGACTTTGAACTGTGGGATTTAAGTGTTAGAGTGCAACTGTTACAGAGTGCATGCAACTTAAGATTGCATATCCATTATTCCATTCTTGATTTCCTGTAGCTAAGGCTAACTTTGATTTATCTTCAGAAATTAGTAATGATGATCCTTACGACATGAGAAAAGGTACTTTTTCTATGACCACTAACTAAGCACAATCACAATCATCCTGGAAGTATCTTTTAGGAGGAAGGATCTATAATTCAGTGCTAATGACTTTGAAGAAAACATTAGTTCAAGGACTACTCTTTTTAGGAGTAAATAACCCCAAGTTCTTTACAACCTTGCAGAAGTTTGATGGAATTTGAAAAAAAAAATCTTGCTTTCTTTGTGATGATAATTTACATTTGGATTAGTAGTCTGTTACACACACGATTTTTGTACTTTGAAGTTTCTGATACTATTGTGTATTATGGGAAGACAGCTAAGTTAATTTTCATCCACTAGAGGTCATAAAAGGATAACTATCTGCTTATTGCTCATGATATTTCTTTCCTTATCCAGTGTCTTAGTCAGCAATATGCTATTTGTGAATAAATCAAAATAGTAATAACAAATGAACAAAACATTAAAACTCATTTTGCTAGTTTTAACATTGTTCCCCAATTTGAATGAAAGTGAAATGTGCTGGTATAAATATGAATCTATCTCTTTGTCTCTGTGAAAAGTGATGCTCAATAATGGCATTCCAGATGTCTATGGCTAACTGTTTACTCTTCTTTCCTTTAGCTTATGATTGTGAATATATCAATAAAGGTAAGGAGTTTATGGGGAGCTAATAATAAAGAGAAGTGTTTTCTCTCCTGCCACCTTTTTAAAAAGTGACATCTTTGTGCTCAGATTTATTGAACCAGCATATATTACTGTATAGTTCTTGAAAGCTTGTGGTTAATACAGAATTGAAAGCACATAACTGTCCCTTAAGATTTAGCAACCTGTTGCATAGAATTATTCTGATCTGGACATTATACTGCTGTACTCTCCATCTAGTAACTCCACAATCTGAACAGTATTTTAGGCAGGGCAAGGTGAGTGTGAAGGAAAGACATGAGCTGGATTATCAGCTTGTTCATACTTGTGAACAACAGCACTTGAGAATGTTGTTTGGGTATAGAAAACAGAACAACTGCAAGGGTGAGCCTTAGGTGTGATCATGAAGCAAACAAACACAGCCGTCACCAATATTTGCCATCTTTTGGGTCTCTTGGTATTTACCTGCTATCTACTACCAGCTTTTGCAACCATTTTAAACACCTCTTTGTGCTACTGCATAATGATACAGTAACTCAGAACTACTAATTACTAGTTGCACTTTCTACACTGCAAAAGAAAATTGTTAAAATGTAGAACTGACATGCAGTATGCTCCCTCCTGAAGGTCCTCAGGAGGGAGCTAGCTTGCAAGCTATATTAATTGTCAGTCTCTCTCAAGCTATTTACTAACATTCAAATCCACTGGTACTATAAAAGAGACAAAGTTTGCTATATATTGCTTCTGCATGACTATCTGCTAGACAAAGTAAGAAATCATCTCAACCAGTTATATTTGGCATATTCCAAACAGATATTTAAAGCTCTAGGCAATGGGAAAATCTGAAGCTGGAGAGAAATTGTTAAAGCTTTCCCACTCCTTCCAGGCATTTTAAAGTTTTCCTCAGATAATTTGGGCTATATTCTAAATGTATAATGCATGGAATGAAACTGCTGTGAGCGAGAGAGTCTAAGGTTTTCTTCTGCTGTGACCCAGGCAGATTGAGTGCCAGTTCCTCCTCTTCCCTCTGAAGGGAGACAAAAAACTTATTGGGTGACAATCTGACAACCAATTTTCATCCTTTACCACAAAGATTGGCATAATTGAGAAGGCATAGACATTTAGTTTTCATGCATTTAATATCAACATCTTTGATGGAATATATTGGATTGGATCCACAGTTCCCTTCTTCCTGTACAGCAATATATTCAAGTATTTGGATTCAACACATTATGTACAGATTCATTTTGTTTCTATTAGTGAGTTCTATTTTGGTTTATAACATACAGTTATAATAGGCTATGTGCATTTTATTAATAATTTTTACTTGTTTAGATTTACTATATATAATGGGATTGTAGTTACTCAATGCTCCTTTTTTTGTCCTGGTATCTTCTCCTCAACTTCACAGAACTGCTTTATGCTGACAGTTTAAATACTAAGCAATTAGTGTTTATGAACGGATTATCATGGCAGCTTACCAGTGGCTAGAAGGACTTCATTTTAAAAAATGGTCAGGTGTCTGTTAGCTTCTACCTGTAGGTATCCATGATATCACGTTAGCTCACCAAGTGGCTAGAGAAGCCTCCCAAGACATCAGGGTTGTTTCTCTTCATGAGTACTTTGGTAAATCATAGTTATAATTTAATAAAATATAAGTATGGTAAAATGTAATTCAATGTTACATTCTCAAAATTTGTAATGTTTATATTATGGATTTGTTTGTTGGTCTGGTATGCAGAACCAGTTAAAGCGTTAAAGGTGGTGGTATTCTCAGAAGAATTTGAAGTAAATTATCTCTCTTCTCATAGTTCTTTTTAACTGTAAGCAGATTTCTTCTTCATAGCTGATAAGACCCCAAAGGAAAACTGGAGTCACGTGTAATGTCCCTGAGGATGCATCCCCTCCAGGCCAGTTAGCTTTCGTTTTGGTCCCAGGTTAAAGGGAAACAAGCAGAATGGTAGTTTACCATCTTGTGTCTACACACTGTTTACTACTGTCAATACTTGAAGGCAGCATTAGGGCCCATGCACAACTTGGCCTCCATTGTTTGGAGATATAGGCAATAATCTTTTCAAAAGTCTGAAGTTTTCTTGTATGCCCTAGTGGGCCTGTGCATTTGCAGGGTCGCACCCCCATCTTCTAACTACTCTATTTTAATAATAGCTTTTTCTGTGTGGGTATTGATAAAGAACTCTAATTTTATTACCTTTCACTTTGATAGATGAGGATAAGATTCAAACAAATACTTTCTGAAATTAAGCTTGTAGATGTTCCATAACTCAAGTGTACAGCTTTTGTGTGAAACACAGTTTTGATTCTGATGCATGTAAGTTGATAGTTGTACAGCAGGAAAAAACACAAATGGCCAATAAATAATTTGTAGCACTCAACAGGAAATGTAACCTTGCCTTCTCTTGGCAGTTCTAGGAAAGGGTCCTTACAAGCTGGTCAGCTACTTGGACAGAGACATTGCAATTGCGGCCAAGCTGTCGGATGGTTCTGTTTTTCCAGCAAAAGGAAATGGCACTCATTCTGGTGATGCAGTGAGCTTTATGCTGACATCAGGACTATATAAGCCAAAAGCACATGGTAACTAATTGCCTCTGTAAAATACCTAGAAATTTACTAAAGAGAATGTTAAAATGAGAAGCAGTTTGCTTCTGAGTACCAGATGCTGGGTATAAACAATGGAAGAAGTATATTATTTGCGTGCATTCTGAGACATCTGGTGGGCTATTGTTGATGATAATGTGTTACACTAGATGACTCTTGTTCTGGGCAAAGCAGTTCTTACGTTATCATATACTGAATTGCTTCTGCCTGCATTAAAACATTGATGGTTTTGTAAAAGGGGCATCAAACCTTCCTCTTCAGCTTTCCATAGGTTCCCAACAAGAAGGATCCCAGGCAAGGTCTCCACTAAGTGAGTGGGGTTTTACAAGGTGATTGATGATTTACAAATCATCTAGTCTTCAGATCAACATTTTTGTAGACCCAGTGGTCCTAAAATTTCCTGTTTGGAATAGAGGTTTAAAATGGGAGGAAAACTGCAAGTATGTAGTGGTTGGCCAACTATAGAATTAATGATGTACAAACATTAGGTCAACTGAGTTCGTTATGTTTCATAAGTAGTCAGACTGTGGTGATGTGGGAAGCCTCACATGTGAAAATGCTTTTAGGATTATTCTCTACATTTCTTTTCATTATTTGTGATTTTAAAACATACATAATGCATGTGCAGGTGACGGACCAGATAACACTGAAAACCACAAGCCTTTGTAATATGAGAATGAAATGAGAGATGATTGGGGAATACGCACTTGATCAGACTTCTTAGAGTAGCTCAGCCAGATATATGATTCAGCCATGTGGGGCTATTTTTACTTTACAAAGATATGTGTCTGCCTTCATCCATATTTCCCTGAATACATTTTAAAAATACACACAAAGTAATGTGGAAATGGGTGCCTTGAGTAATAGTTTAAAAATATTTTTGGTATCCAAACTATGAGACCATCCTCGCAAAATGAGAAATACAGAAACTGTTAATAGAACAATGGTAGCCAATATAGGAAAGAGGAAGGAAGTGTGTGGCTGAACCATTTCATAGGAAAATAATCTACAGGGTGTTCATGCTGATTTGGAAAACAGTATTGTTTTCTGTCATGCATTTGCGCTAACATGGCCCTGTATAACTTTTCAGGGAGACCTCTATTTGGGGAGAGCCCCTTTATTGTGGGTTTTATGGGAAATTGCCACACCTCAATATCTCGTTCATGTGGAAAGGATCAAACATGCACATACATGGATACAAGATTCACATATAGGCTCAGACTGCAAACCGAGCCTGAAACCAACCACTGCATGTTTACACAAGCCATGCTTTTGGTCCTGTGTGGATGTTATCTCTGTGCGCTCAGCTCTTTCCAGCTCCAAAATGTATTAGAAAGGGTAGGTGTACCCTTACCTCCTTCCAGTGTGCATGAACTGATCAAGAGAAGTATTGATAATATGACCCCCTGAGCTCACCCATATTTATTTAGAATAAGGTTATAACAAGATACAAGTGTTTTCTGTTTATGCATGCATTGCTAGTTTTCTAACTACAGCACGTAAAGAAAAAAATTCAGTTCCTTCTGCACAATTGTGATTCTTCCAATAAATAAATGTTGTCATCTTGGAAAATTAGATGACATTCCAGAGCAATGAACAGTGCATCATACATCTGTTTAATGGAGATTATTTGTTCTCTTTACAGGATTTTAAAAGAAACATTATCCAGCTCTGAGGGGGACAGTTGATTTTACAGTAGTTTTATGGTTATTTTAGGCAGAATAACACAATGTACAATGAAATAATATTTGGAACAGCAGATGCTTATTTGGGTGTCAGCTCTGCCACTCTTTATCTTACAGTTAAATCTACCATAAATCAGTGTGACTACTTTTAGGAAAGCTATTAAATTTCAGAACAAAAACATAGCTGACAGAAAATATACAGAATGTCTGTTTTAGATATTATGGTACAATCCTATGCAAATCTTTTGAGACATAAGTCTCTGGATTCAGGAGGATCTATACCCAGGTGAGGAAAACCTAGAAGTTTTGGATTGCATTTCCTTGGATTCCTGCCTTTGGCTATGATAGCTGTGGGGATCAAACACTAGGGGAAGGTTGCCATATAGATATGGAGTTTTACCATTATATTTTCTGGGACAGGGTTCTCAACAGATGACTGAGAAGCTGAGAAACACAATTGAGCATTGGAAATTTTGCATTATGTTTCCTTGGCTATTTATTTGGTGGATACTGATTTGGAAGAGGGAAGTTTGCTGGGCATGGAAGAGGGCAAGAGAGAACTTCCTAATGATAGATGTTAAACCTTATTTGGCTTGTTATTGGGTTAATTATCTCTGCAAAAGAGATGATGCAAACATAATCTCTTCATTGAACTACATAATTGTTTAGTTTAAGAAGCTTCTCTGTGTAAGTGGTTCTGTTTAAAACCACAGCCGAATAATATCTGATAAGTCATTGTTTTGGTGGAATATGACTGGTTTTAAAAATGCATAGTAATCTTCAACATATAGTTAAGTGCACCAGAGACTAATCTGTATAAACTTTGCTTAACTTGGGTAATAATATTTTGTTGTTGCTCTTTTGTTTTTCAGATCCAGACCTGGTTTCATTTGAAGCACTTGACAGACCAAATTATTTTCTTTATTTAGCTTTCAATAATACTCTGATTCTTTCTAAGTGGGGAAGAAGTGAAACTTTTCATAATAGATCAACATTTATCATCCACAAAAACACATGGCTCTCAGGATACAGTTCCTTTGAATCATTTGCAGTGCCAGGAGCTTTCATTCACATTTCAGCTTCATCTGTGAATGTTATTAAATATAAACATTCTGAAGCATTCAGATTATCTACACTTTTTAAACTTATAGGTGAGTAAATATAAACTCTGGTGGCTGCATTTTCAAACCTGTTTTTACATGTTAAATGAAACTCCTACATTTTGAAAGTTAAATGCAGGATTGGTTGATTTTTTTTCATAAATAACTAACCAGTTATTAAACATAGCATGAATTCATTTTGCTGAAGTATTTGTTGATTATATACACTTTTGATTCAAGTTCATAATAATCTTTTACAGCTTATAATGTTCAATTGTATCATGAATCAGGCACCACTCCCACCACATAGTTCTTCTCCATATTAAAATGTAAAATAAGATCCTCCACAGGCACACTACAGTTGAAAACCATCTGTTTCATAAGCACATGCTCTAAAGTTCTTTAATGTTAACCCCTTACTTTCATTGGGGCTAATATTCATTGCTGTATAGTACATGAAGAAGCCACATAACTTAGATTTTGTTCACCAAAACACCAAATATATTACCTGTTTTGGTAAGCTCTCTTGATGATCTTCTAATTATGGGATTGCTGTCACCTGTGCATATCTAACAACACTTTTTGGGAAAAGGGCAGTTGAATTTCCATCTGGCCATCTGCCATGGGTAGTACTGAAAATTACAGTTCACAGGGGACAATATAATACAATAAGCTGTAGATACTTGGCTTATAAGAGAGAATTTTCAGAAAACAGACAAGTATTTTTCTGAATGCTTGCCAAAAAGTTAGTTATTACCAAGCGGATTTTTTCTTGAACCAAGGTGAATTGTCTATCAGTTCTGGTTATAGTTAACATTAGAGCTTTCAAAGATAATCAGAGCTACATTATCAGTGGCTTTCAGTGTCTATATACAACAGAGGGAACATGGGAAGCAGACAGGACACTTGAAATCCTGACATAAAGTGGTAAGTATGATATGATAGGTAGCAGATGACAACATGTTCATGGAGATGAGCAGTAGTACTAATGCTAGATTTTAACTAGCCTGACATCTGCTGAAAGTCTTAATTCTGCAGAGAGTGGAACATTCAAACAAGTTTTTGACTTATTTACTTACAATTTCATCTCTCAAGAGCAAGAAGAAGCAACAAGGGATTCTACTATCTTGGACTTAACCCTTACCAACAAAGAAGAAATTGTAGATGAAGTGAAAGTGGCAGAATCCTTAGGAAGAAGTGACTATGTCACCTTCGAATTCATAATAGAGAGGACCATGAAAACTGAGTTTATTCAGAAGTATACCTTGAACTTTAGGAAAATTAAATTCACAGAGCTCAGAAAACAGTTGGGTGGGATCCCATGGTGAGAAATCCTGAAGGAAAATAAGAGTTCAGAGTTATGGGAGATTCTGAAAACTAAAATGCTGTAAAGACATTCACAAAGTATTCCAATGGGAAGGAAAAATGGGGGACATTTAAAGAAGCCTGTATGTCTACCCAGGGAGCTCTCTGATAACCTGAGACTCAAAAGGAGCATGCGTAGAAGATGGAAGGAGGATTGTATTGTCAAGGAATGGTAAAACAGAGTTGTCCAAATCTGCAAGCATGGTGTCAGGAGCATGAAGATCAAGAAAGAACAGAGGCTGGTAAAGGATGCCAAAAGCTAAAACCTGCTTTTGTTATCTTAGGACCAAAAAGTAGATAAGGGAAAAAGGGAAGGTCCACTGCCTAGTGAAGATGAATTGTTAACTGGTGATGGAGAGAAGGTATAACTGCTCAACTATTTCACCTCTGCCTTCTTCCACAAAGAGAGTTCATATTCAGCTTGGGACATGTGGAACAGGTGGTATATGGAGGGACTGCAATCCAGAATAAGTAAGGATATGGTTAGAAAGCATTTATTGGGCAAGTTTAGACAGTGTTTTAAGTTGCCTGGGGGACCCTGTTCTGCCTGACTGGTGATCCTGCACAGTGGGGGTGCTGAGGCACTTTCTTCCTCTGCTCTTACCTCCTCAGTCTTTCTGCTGGTATTCCAGGTTGATGGATCATTGGACCACTGTGGACTGTGCAGACATTAATTTCCACAAAGGATTTTCCATGTGGGTTGGAAAATCAAGGGAATCTACAGCTGGTTGAACAACTGTACTCAATGAGTGCTCAATAATGACTCAGCATTCTCTTGGAGCAGAGCCTCAAGTGGAGTGCCAAATGATTTGGATGCGGTTAAGGGGTTGCTTACCAAATTGTAGATCACACAAAGCAAGGTGGTACACGCAATACTACAAAAGACAGGAACAAGATTCAGAGGGATCTAGATAGGCAGGAGTATTGGGCTGAATACAAAAACGTAACATTCAACAGAGATTAGTGTGAAATTTTGCCTTTAATTCTGACTAATATCACTGAAGGGTACTTAGAGTTTGCCACTGCATGTTATTTATTTGAGAATTTGTGTGCTGCCCACTAATCCAGATGGATTCTTGAGTCAGCTTACAGTAGAATACTAATAAAAAACAACAATAAAACCAATTAAAATCACCATTAAAAGATTTTAAAAATTGTATCACAGTTGTACCAATAAGTAATAACAAATTTAAGACTGTCCTTGAAAATATTCAGAGAAATGAAACATTTTCTCCTGGCACCCGAATGAAAACAAGGTTGGTGGCAGATGAATTTATTTGGGAAAAGAGGCAGCCACTGAGCAGCCCTTCTTCTACTTACTATCCCCTTTGTCTCCTTAAGGGACAGCTCTTTTAGAAGGACCTCCTGCCCAGATTTTAATGGGTGGGTAGATATAAATGGGAGCAGATGGTTCTTCAGGTAGTCAGGTCCCAAGTCATTTAGGGCTTTATATGTCAAAACAAGCACTTTAAATTGGGCCTGAGCTACAACTGGTAACCAGTGCAGTTAATTACAAAACTGGTGTTACGTGGGCCCACATGTTAAGATCTGCTGCCAACCACACTGCCTGATTTTGGACTGCTTCGATTCATCAGGCCCTCTTCAAAGGCTGCCCCATCTAATCTGGATGATACCAGTGCATGTGTGAATGTGGCCAGACTCTAGGTAAGGGTGAAGTTGACATTCAAGAATCTTTTCTCCCCCTACGCCCACCAAAATTAGGGACCATCTAATAAAACTAATCCAAATCCAGATTAATCTAAAGAGGGCTTTTGAAGAAGTGGTGTCAGATTTGCCTCCTTTAGAACTGTCAGGACCTTGTCCATATGAAGAAAGGCGTTTATCACCTCTTTAGCTCATTTAGCCAAATTTTTGGAAGCTTTTAATGACCACAGGGAAAAAACCTCAATCTTGCTTATGGCTGGACTCAGACCCTGAAGGATCTTGTCCCTATAAGGCTGCACAGACTGAAACGAATTTGTCACAATAGAACAAGAAAGTTCCCTGGATATATCCACAGGTGTTACAAATAATCCAGCACATGGGTCAGAACTGTTAAGCATTTTTTGTGGAGGACACAAATCTTGTAGGTTATTATTTTCTTCCTAGAGCTGCAAGTATTTCTTTAAGTAAAATGTTCTTTTTCATACAAGCAAAGGAAAAAAAATTCATGTTGGAAGAAATGACGCTTCAGTTAGGCAAGTTGTATGTTTACCAGTGCTTTGACTTTTGTGACAGAAGGAGCCAACTGCCTGCCTTGGAGAATTCCCTGTTATTAAACCATTGAATTAAAGTGTTAATAGTGGCATTGTAAATCTGCTTACATTTGTGGGGATGTTAAGAAAAGACTGTAATGCAGCTGTTGGCTGGCACACTCCAACTTCACAAAAAATGACAGGTTTTGTCATTGCCAAATGCTTGTTGCCTCCTGACAAATTCCTTTAATCATAGTGCTGTTGAAGTTTGGATCAGCAGAAAACATGAAGCTGATGCTGTTATCAAGATATAAAACTCTGCTGATTTGAGCTGTAGTTTCAACGAAACAAAAACCTCATACTCTTTTATCTTTAAGAGGAAAAGGACAGGTTACCATTTGTAATAGTGTTCCCTAATAGTGCATTAGCAGAAAATGGTATATCATCTTTAAAGTGTGAAGTCTTTGCCTTCTCATCGTGCCAAAGAATCCTATCTATGTCAGTGGAAAACTAAAACAATTTACCTCAGCAAGTGGCATCATATCAAATGATCACGAGGCATTTCATTAATCACCACATCCGAGGATTTGGGTTTCAGGGTTTTATAAGCAAAGAAACATGGGGCTTGAATCTTTCTCCAGTGTTCTTTCACAAGGTCTGACTTGCTGATGCAGGGTAATTACATGGTCTAAAAATACAGCAGCATTTGTTTAAGTTAATGGAAAAGTTACACCAGTTCTAGAGTGCGGAGGCAAAGATAGATTGGGTTTCCTGCTGACTATCATAAATGCTTTGCATATTAGATCAGAACTTTTCCAACTGGGAACTGCTATTTCTGAATATAAATATTGGGAGTAGTATAATAGGTCCTTTAAACCCCTTGACCAAAAATGTAATTGTGAATCTTCTTCATGTTCTGTGAAATATATCTGAAAAATTGGGAGGTCCAGAAAACCCTCTGTGATAAATAATTGTTTGCCAAAGTTCATTAAAGATTTCCCTTTTGATACCAGTAATACCATGGATGCCAAGATGTATACCATAATATTAGAATGCCTTTGGTATAATTGATGCAGATAATGGGATAATACTGTGGTTAATTCATTATAAATTTTTGTAAGTGTATGTGTGTGATGTAGTTACAACTATTTGGATTGCAGTTACCATTGCTTCAAAATTGTGTACGATTGAAATTATTAGTCTCTACATTTCTTCCTCATTTTTACTGTGTGTATAAGTAACCAAAATAGCACACAGTAAATTCTTTAAGAATTTTTGTATGACATACATGCATTTCTAGTGGAAGATTTAAAAATACCATAATACAATTTAACTATTCACTGCAAGATATCTAGTTTAAATTGCTAATTGCATCCATTAAGTCAGGATTCTCTGTGAAGTGTTATTTGTAATTTTTGTTATTAATCTTCACAATATTAATGACAGATGGGCAGCATTGGTCTGGCATTTCAGAAGGAAAACTGAGTTGAAAATGACTTGTTATATACAGAAAAGTTGAAGACAAAGTAGAACATTTAATTAAGCTATTCTAGGTCCCAACTTGTACACAGCTATTATTTACAGTTTTATAGTCTTTCTTTTTTAAACAAATCATTAAGAAAAGATTTGACAGACTCTCTCTTGTGTGTGACGGAGTAGTATTTCTGGAATGTATGTTTATTTCTATTTTCCTTTTGTGATGCAGGGTGAAAAATGGATTATTTGTAGTCCTATCTGTACTTCTGGGAGTACAGATAGGACTACAAATGGGAGTTAATTCTGATTAGACATGTATAGGGCTGCACTATTACAATGTGGCACAGCTATGGCTGAAATACTGATAATGTAGAGCCATGTTTAGGCATCACTGAGTCCACAGACTACATGAAAAATCCACCCTTCAGAAAGACTCACTGGGTAGTTTGCATGATCAAACAGCCTGCATGGGTGCAGCATGCCAATTTGAGTGCTCCAGCCACAACCACAGCTTCTCGTGCTATCCATGCCCAATGGGGGTGATTATGTGAGGTTAAACCTCACATAACTCATGGTTTTTTATTGGTTTATCTGAGAGTTGATTACCTTGTGCACAACCCATCCCCACCCTGTCTGGATAACAGGACAAACTGTGGAGCTGTTCTTGCCATGCAGACTGTGGGAGGAAGAAAAGGATCTGAGTGTGGATCCCTTGTCCTAAGGCTGGAGTGCTTTCCAGCCTTGGGACTGGGGATCTCAACAATCCTAGGTCCATGTAGACATTTTCTAGAGGCTCTAGATTGGGATTGCTCAACCCACCTGCTGTCCTATACACATTTTACCTGGCCATATGCTTCATTGTACTCAATGGAATTTACTTCTGAGTCTATATTGATAGACTCACACCGTTCCATAGTGAAACAGTTGTGGCTGAAATGCTGATGTTAGGTTGACTTTAGGATTAGGAATTACAGCATTCTTTGTCCTGTCTACCACAATAGTTGTCCAGAGCATAATTCTCTAATCTTGTAAGGATTCTGCTATTCCTTGGATGTAAAACAAACAATAGCTACTTGTGCCTGAGGTCTTGTAGTGGCCAGTGGCTTGGCTTGGCTTGGATTGTTTTTGTTTTGTTTTGTTTATTGATGCTGGGGACTCATAGCAAGAGGCACCTCCATAAGAGGTGGAATGGGTGAACCTGCATCCTTCTGCTGCAACCTGCCTCCTTCCTACAGTGGTTGCTGTGAGTTCAGGGGTCCATTTCTTTGAAACATTAACTTTCCATGTATACAGGGACCAATAAATAATTTGGAGCGCCCAATGGAAAATGTAACCTTGCCTGCTCTTGGCAGTTCTAGAAAAGGGTCCTTACAAGCTGGTCAGCTACTTGGACAGAGACATTGCAGTTGCAGCCAATGTGGGGGTACCATATTTGCGTAGAGGTGCATTGAGATATGTTGTCTGTTGATACTCTGAAATCTTCCAGGACATCTTCCAGGAATTGGAAGCTTTATGGTATTTCTGACATCTACCAGGAATTGAGCTTTATGGTATTTCTGACTTATGTGACCACTCCCATAAAAAAGAAATGGTAATGTGAGGAACAGTAAATTTGATTGGAATAAAAAGTCACCCCCCTTAGTTTTGTACAGTGTTCTTTCATAAGAGAGAACAGGAAATTACTGTATAGTTTAGAAGTTTCCATATCATACTAAGTCCACTGCATGCCCACTGCATGTTGTATTGTGCCTACTATGCTCTCTGTCACCCCAAAGTGGGCAAACTTTGGGGATGGTGGTAGTGGTTGTGATGACGATGAACCACCAGACAGTAAACTCTTGTGAAGAGAGTTATTTCACAGGCACTTGAAACTTAGCTGAGATTGCTGTAGACTATAAATAAATGGTATCAGCAAGCCAAGTTGCTCTGGTTGTAATATGAAAACATTCCTTCCAACTGAGACAAACCAGAAGGAACTCTGTGTTGGATCACCTAGAGTTGTAACTCCATTCAGTTAAGTGCAATGTGCATGGAAACTCATGTTCAGTTGTGCCTCTCTACCTTGCAGGGTGTGGTGAGAAGCTCTGACATTGACTCCATTTCCACGATACTTACTGCAGTCTTTTGAAATTAGAGATATTTCTTCCCATAGGTTTATACTTCCACCAATTGCCTGTCATAGAAACTGAACACCCAGAATATGGCCATTGCCAGGGCCCTCTCTGCTGCTAGGCAATGTGAGATAACTGTTTCAGGTAGCATTTGATGCTGGGTGGAAGAAGCCTGTCCTGTCCCCCTAAAACCTGCTACCTTCAGGTGCAGTGGACAGTCCTATCCTTTCACCAGAATTGTGTTAAAATTCAATTACCATTCTGGTCAGCTTCTGTCCAAAGAATGTTGTGTGTGCTTCTTTAGTGGGGGAAGATTTTTTTGTCCTTTGCCTCTGCCAGCAAAATGCTGTGGTCTGCCCCAATAAACACATGGATATACTCCAATACACATGAATAATTTACATAAGATGTATCTATGTGGAATGCACAAAATCAGATAAGTAGAGTTTTTGAGGTAATAATGTGTTAGTACTCAGCTTAGAAAGTAGATGTAGAATTTGTTCTTGTTGACCTTTCAACTCTAAAACAATAATTATATCATGCATTTTAACAAGACAGTGAAATAGATTCTAAGGATAAATTTTAAGAATGTCCATATAAAAAACTGAAATACAAATCGAGATTCATTGTTTTCTTTTTTTAAATGCAGTTTCCCTTTGTTTTTCTAAAGAATGATAAATATAGCATTGATAATAAAATTTTGAAATCTCTGCTAGAAAAAAGACCACTCAATTTTTGTGGAGAGGGTGACAGATACAAAGAAAGGCTATAGAATTCTTTTAATGCTCTTAAAAACGCATTTCCTAAATAATCACTCTCAGTAATGAGCATGCAACTGACAAATTACAAGTTCTAACAATATGTATTAGAAACATAGAAACAGAGCGATTCAGAAGGGGCCTCCTGGCCATTTAGCCTGACCTCTGGCTCCAGCCGGCTCTGCTCATTACATGCCCACCGTGTGCATGTCCAGCCTATCCTTGAACACCCTCACTGATGGGGCCTCAGTATTAAAAATGTCCACTGTATTTTTTCTGCTGTACAAAAATGTATTATGTAAAATGTATTATGCAATTCATGTTCCTAACCGTCTTTAAGGGTAATCAGTATCATTCACATACTGTGGATGATGACCTTAGGATGAGTGTTCATTATTTGTCCAATTTTAAGTACTGTTGCACAGATGCATGTGATGTGTTACATATGGAGCTCAAGAGAGTTGGGAATATTCTAGTAACCCAAAACATAGCTACAGTACTTTTAACTGAGATTGGGTGTTATAATCATGTCACAAACAGTGCTGTGGCTCCCCAGATAGTCTGGGCTGCAGTTTCCATCATTGCTTACCATTGGCTATGTTGACTAGGGCTGATGGTAGGCTAGCCCTTCTGAAGATTCCTTCCCTTGCTGTATGGCGTTCATTTCTCCTCAAAGGGCTGTTTTTAATTAAAAGCTCTTCAAAGCTCCTGGGACTATGCTATCTGAAATGCTGTTTGGAGCTGTGCTGGATGGCTACCTGGACAAGAGTAAGACATCTTGGTGATATTGTGACACTGAAATGTTTTTTCCCAGGAAACCTGCCTTGACACCTGTTATTTTGATGCCAGAAATATTTTTTTTCTTTTCCGAGGAACTTAATTAGACCTATTTTATTCTGTTGCTTGCTTTCATGCCTATTTGCATACCACAGTGCTTATAGTGAGTATGGATTCATCAGACTGTGTAATTCACCCCCAGAGATGTACCCTGCTCAAAACCACTGATAGAGGCGGATTGACAGAAGTTAACATATCTGTGTACACTTCCTATAATAAGGAAACATGCTTGCCATCCTAAGAAGACAACATATTTGATGTTTATGATGTTTGGGAGTGATGTCAATGAATTGGTTACCTAAGGAACAGAAGGTTGTATAACACCTCATAATGGTGTCATTCCAGAAACTCGGGCAACGCAGGTAGAGCTCTGTCAAGCCTTTCAGCTGCAGAGGCAGTTGTATCTTGGTTGCAGATACTGTTGCACAAGCAGGTTCCATTCATGCAGTGTACAGCCTCTTCTGCAGCAATTTGTGCAACTAGTTGCACAAGCATAATGCCCAACTGCTTGCGCACCTGCACTTGGGCAAACATGACATTGGTTGGATTCTTCCCTTGCACATAGTTCACAGCCTAGTTTCCATGAATTCCATGTCAGTTGTATTGACATGGAATATCATACTGATATAAGCACTGCAGGGAGCTAGCAGTTAAAAGGCAGCCAGAAATGATTGGAAACACTCATTTCCAGAAAACAGCAGTGGAACTTGCAGAGCAAAGCTCTGGTAACCCTACACCATCTGGAAATAAAAATGTCTGCTTGTTCCAAAGGTTACTTTCTCTTGTGCAAGCAGTGGGTCCTGCTTACACAAAAGTTTGCATGCAAGTGTAGTAACAGTTTGGGAAACAGGTCCAGGAATTTCAGGTAGCTGATATTAAAAAAAGTATGTTCATCATATGCAGTAAAGGATCTTAGAGAAACTAGTATATATTGCGTGTGTGTACATGAAAATAATATATTTATAATTGTATTCTAGATGCCAACCTTAAGTTTGTAGCACATTCGGTGTGTGAGTGGCACTATGATGTTTGTACAAGCCCTTGCTTCAAAACTTGCAGAGATCCTTTAGCAGAACACTGTCAGACTGTACCAAAGTAAGTATCCACATTTTATATCTTTAATATTAGCCATATTAAATTATATGGTTTAGCCCTAACAGTAAGCTGAGATGGTTGGTTTTGAATCAGTTTGCAAGCAACACAGGTTTTTTGATAGGAGGCTGTGTTATAAATGAGTCAGACCACTGATCCATCTATCCCAGTATTGTCATCACTGACTGGCAACAATGTCTTTCCGGGTTTCAGGGAGGAGTTTTTCTAACCCTGCTTGGAGATACCAGGTACTGAACCTGTTTGCATACAAATCTGTGTTCTGCCACTGAGCTTCAGTTTCTTTCCTAAATGCTCATTTTATTATATTTACTTAAATGTACATATTATCCTTTTCTAGAAAGAGTGGTACTCTTCCCAGGTAAATGTGTTATATAACAGGGTAGAAACTAAGCCCATTTTATTTTTGTACTCATGTTAGTGCTTTAAGTGAGCCCAAAATATGAAACTGTTTAAATAAGGGTATTTCTTTTCTATTGGGGTTTGCAAACAGGTTGCTTTTTCAGTTTAAGTCATAGCAAGAATGTAGCAGTAGTTGTAAAGCATGAATTGAGAGAAGAGAAGAAGACAGGCAGACTATAGGCTGTCTATTCTAGTCATACTTCCTATGCTCAGCCTATACTTGAGGTTACTAAACATGCAGCCTCCCTGTCTTTTTCCAAGCTGTAAAAAAAGGAAAACAAACAGGTTTCCCCATTATGTTATTACAGTGCTATTGCAATTGAGTCATAACTAGCAATATGTGTTGCTGTATTTCAGTGCCAAAACACCTCACTGCAAGAGTAAACATATTTGTTTTCTCTGTAAAGAAGATGGTGATTTATATAGGCTATTCTTCTGGGGCTGAGTTAGTCTCGCTGAACTCAATGGGATTGACTCCTGAGTAGACATGGACAGGACGGTGTTGTTAAATATATTTTAAATAATTTGAATTAACACCTGAGATTTACAGCCCAGTGGTACTGCCCTAATTCTATCTTTCCCTAAAGTAACTCACCAATCACTTTGGTTCTTGTCTTTTGCTTTTTCATGCAAGGCAAATTTTTAGCAAAGCTCTGATGGGCCATTAGCGTTGGTATAAACAAACAAGAAACAAAATTTTGCGCAAGCATGTAAAGGCTTTCTGCCAGTTCTAAATGGAAATATTCATCATTGGATAAGCACATATATTTGTTCCAAGGTTATGTTACATCGTTTGTGAATTAGCTCAGCTCAACAGGATGACAAGCTAGGTCAGTGTGAGCTAATGAAAGCAATAAAAGCAATAATTTGAGGTGGCTGCATTTTATTTTATTTTTTAATTACAAATTTAAGTTGTAATCTAAAAACCTTTTTAAAAATAGCATGACAAGTATGTCCTCTCCTGTTTTGCTAATTTATTGATAAGTGTTCAGGGATTCTGAACATGGGAACTCTGTACAAATCCACATGCAAATTCTAAATGGAAGCTGGATGCATAGCAATGTTAGTAACAGGGCTACGTAATGTTAGGTACACTTGCATGCCTCCTTCTGCTCATTTTTCCTACATCTGAGCAGGCCAATGCCTGAAAGGGGCTTGTGTTGTTCAGTGCCTTGTTTCAGCTGTGCAGGCTATTTCGAATAGTTCATATGGATGTTTTTCGTTTTTAGAGTGGAAGGATGTGTTCCTATGTGTCCGCTGAATATGGTTCTGGATGAAGTAACTCAAAGATGTGTCTATTTTGAAGACTGTACGTAACTCATGTTTTGCTTACATTTTGATACAATTTAAAATACAGTATCTAAATCTTCATTCTTCATGTTTATACTTACTAAAGCACTCCAAATAGGTAGCTTCTTCCTTTCCTTTCCTTTCCTTTCCTTTCCTTTCCTTTCCTTTCCTTTCCCTTTTATGCTGCTCAATAGCCAAGCCTCTCTCTTATTTCTTAGGATAATGAGAATTTCTAATATCTTTTTACAAAGGCTTGTTACTTGTTGATGAGCAAAGTGAATTTGACATCATCCTGCTTTTGGTAGTTCATAGGTCTGTAGGTGTCATCAAAAGAGTTGGCCTTCTAAGAAATTTGGGAGAACTTTTATATGATGCACCCCATGATGTTATGGTCCATCCTTCCTCCAAGAAGTTCAGTGTGCTATACATCTGCACATGTATTTAGTTCTTAACACAGCCCTGCAAAAGTTGAGAAATGTTGCCTAATGGGAGGGACAGAGCTGAGGTTTCCTTGGTCCATGTCCAACATGCTCTGCTCTACATCACCTGCAGTCCTTTTGGCTGGACTAGGAAAAACTTTTACTTGACAATGAGAATCCATATTTTGGGAATTAGAACATACATTCTGGAAAGTATCCTTGTTATCATCTGTGACAAATGTATTTAAAATATATTTACATAAGTAATGGAATATTTCAATGTCAAATTATATTTTGGAATGCCAGGTCTAATTTTAAAACATTATTGTCTGATGGATGCGACAATGGTTAAATTAACAATTACTTATAAGTCTTCAGGCCTATATATACTTCTGAATAAGTTATTTCTGACTAGACATGTATTGAATTGTGCTGTCATTCACTTGATGTTTTCCCTTCAATGTATAAGCATGAGGCCAGGTCATGGTTGGGCAACCTCTGTCCTGTGGGATTAATCCAGCCTTTGAAGCTTGCCCATCCAGCCTGCAGAGGCATGGACTGCCCCACAGATCCTGCCTTCTTCCCCTGCCATCACCTGAAGGCTATGAGGGTTTTGAGAGGAGGCCGAGAGAGAGAGAGAGAGAGAGAGAGAGAGAGAGAGAGAGAGAGAGAGAGGAGTGCTCCTGTTATTTCTGAACTGTGATTGGAATAAAAAGGAAATTCTCCTACATGTCACTCCCACTCCTAGTAGAAATCTGTACATTGGAGGCCAAACATAAGTGAATTCTCTAATTACAGATTCCCCTGGAGAAGATATCCACTCAATGCCTGCAGTAGATTCTGAAAGTGCCAAACAAGAGTCCTTCACTTATCCTTTGCCTTCCCCTCTAGATTATTAAACGTTCAGAAAATTCTACTTGCTTTTGTCTTATTTTAGGCATTGAACCTGCAACTGAAATTCAAAGTTCACCTTTCACTTTAAAGACACATTCAACTTCTGGGTCTCTTCAAACATCCGCAGTAGTCCTGAGTAAAGAAATAACATCATCTCCAGGGCTGGCATCAAAAGAGAAGGAAACAACGCCTGCATTGAAGTGGCAATTCAGTTCAACCATAGAAAAAGCTAAATTTTCTACCCTTCTGTTGCCAAATATTACATTCCTAGCCCCATCTGCAATGTCGAATGTTTCCACCCATTCAGCTTTTGGTACAAGTGCAACGCCAGTATTTTCACACCCGGTATCTGATGATGGCTTCCCTTCTGTAGTTGATTTTCCTCCATCAACAGCTGCTGTAGTTACAGGCACTTTGCCTGGTAAACAGACAAGCAATACAACAATCTCTTCAATCCCTTCAACATCAGTGGCCTCTGAAGTAGGATTCATTTCTGTTCCAACTGCTGTAATTCCATCCATGATTGCACATGATAAATCACCAGCCACAACTAAACCTGTATCAGAAACAAAAGTAATAGGTGCCACAGAGGAAATAAAAACCAAAGTTGCAAGCATTGCAGAAGAAAAAACTTCTTCCACAGTAACATCAAGAATACAAAGAACAAGCCAGTTTCCTACCAAAGCCACATTACCGTCTTTGCCTTCTTATTTGCCCACAGAGATTCAGACAACAATGTCAGATAGAACAAAGCTGAATGTGAGTCAACTGTCTATAATGGCTGCCAACATCACTGTAACTTCATTTCCCCATTTATTTACTATTTTGTCAACACTAAAGCCAGTTGTGAAGCCAGTTCCTTCAGAAACAACAAAAACAACAGTTGCTTTAATGAAAGAAGGAATTGAAACCACATTTATGCCAGGAACTCCAGTACTTACGCAACCAACCACAACAATGCCTACACATCTAAGTGCTTTACTATTTTCTACTGTTAAAAAAGGAATGACAGAAAAAACATCAAGTGTCACACATCAGCCAAGTTCACATTTCCCCCTCTATTCAGCAACAACCTCAAGGCCTGGCATTTTTTCTTCAAAACTCCCTGGGGTATCTGCTACAACTTCTCGGAATTTTACAGACTCTAAAGAATTTCTGCAAACAGGATTGACACGTGAATATTCACAATTCATTCAGCCAAACATAACAAAGGCCACAACTGTTTTGTACACTCAGTATCCTGCTTCATCACAAACCATAATAGTTCCATCTTCCTCTGCAAAAGTAAGCTTTGAAATGACAGCTCCCTCAGAATCACCAGCACGTATTTCAGTCTCCCATACAACTTCTCCACTGTACAAACCACCTTTATCCTTGGAAACTACAAGGATGCATGTTGAACTAGATTCTGTTGGAGTGACAAAATCAGAAGGAACAGAACCTGATTTTACCAAAGAAGCTACAGCCATGGTTTTCCCAATTTCATTAGTAACTAAAAAAATTGAACCAGTTCTAACAACTGAGTACCCATTTACTCTGCCTGCAGTGGCTGATACAAAAAAAGTAACATATCTTCGTGCAACAGAATCAAAAAAAGCTGACTCTACTACTCCATCCCCAGTGCTCATTTCTACAGCAGCAATATCAAAGAGAGTCACTGGTCCAGGGCCTTCATCAGCTGAAGGTCAAGTTACCATGGCAGCAACCCTACATCCAATAACGCAAAAGACTACATCATCCCCAGAATCCACAATAAAAGAAACTTTAGATGACACTGGCTTTACTTTATCCCCGTTCACTAAATTGAGCAGCCAGACGTCACCTGAAGGAATGTCAATTCCCTCTTCCTTTGTTACTCATCCAGTAATAACACCTTCTACCAAACTCTACCTGGCAGAGACAACAGTTCCCCCATATACTTTAATACAAAAAATACCTGAAATAGCAGCCACTGCAAAACAGCCAGCTGAGATGACATCAAAGGTAAGGTATTCTGTTCATACTTCTCCAATGGAGAGGATTTCCTCCCATGGGAAAGTGGAATCTGCTGTTCCGTATTTTACAACCCAAATAATAGTAAAGCACGATTCTCCTCCAGCATCTAAAACTTACTTAACAACCAGGGGAACTACAACAGCCTATTACTTTCCAGATGAACTGATAAGGACCAGCATCCACCCCAAAATTACTTTCAGTACAACGGAGTCAGCGGTCAAGTTTGCAGAGTCTTCTGTGTTCCAAAGTAGTGTGCTACCAGTGCTTGTCCCTTCAGCTGCATCTTCTACGTCTGTGTTTTCAGCAAAAATTCCTTTAACAATTGAAAAAGAAGCAACCCAAACACCAAAAACTGAAAGTGACCTGATTCAAACAATATTTTTACCATCAACTGAAAGGCCTACTGACATGATTGTAAGCAAAAAACCTCTGATTTCTACCTCTAAATTTACACCTGCTCTGATAACATTACCAACCATAAGAGAGGAAGCGGTGACGTCCTTTCCTACTCAGAAGTCAAAAACTGACATAACTACAAAGCTAGCGCTGGTGTCTTCTCAAACACTTACATCTCCCAGCATTCTCATTCATCTATCAGAATCAACCTCTCCGTTATCTATACTGGAAGCACCAGAAATTTCAGGTGCGAGTCTCACAGATTCGCCAGAGGGAGAGTTTTTAAAACCACTTGCACCAACAGCATCCACATCAGTGGTTAAGGGTACTACAGATAAAGTTTCCATTTTATCAAAGCATGTGCCACTTTCCACTGTTTCTTATAGTTCTGTGTTCCCTGCATTTAGAGTGACACCAGCCACGCCACGTTTTACAACTTCAGCTGAATCAGTGCCCCTGGGAATAAGTGGCCTGACAACACAGCGTGTCACAAAACTGCTGGCAGAGAAAACAGCAGGAATAAGAGAATCCCTCACGACGACACTATTTTCAGTGTCTTCTGTTGCTTCGGATACAAAAAGTGTGATTTCTGAAGTACCCGGGATTGATGGACAAATACTTGCTACAAAGCTTCTTCTATCCCCTTCAACTACCAAACATTCAGTTACTTCCCCTGCTTCACTTGGCTTTACCATTCCAACTAGAGAACCCAAGATGCCAACTGTAATGGAGGTCCCCACCCCTTCAACAAGCTCCTTGTTGATAGTACCAATACATCAAAATGCTACAGTAGCTACCCCAGTTCCCACCTATCTATTTACCAAATCAATTTATGATTCTGCTGCAGGATATGATGTGGGATTAACCACTGCTGAAACTGTCTCAGGAACTGCAGCTTCAGTTTATATGCCCGCTAGAGAAACGGCAACACCACCAACATGCACAGTGAGTAACAAAGTGAACGTTCTCTTTTCCAGTGACACAATTCTTTCCCTCCCTCCCTCCGTCCTTCCCTCCCTTTCTTTAAACAACCCAGGGACCTTCCATCCATAGTTTAGTTAGCACTGTTTCTCTAACTAGCCGGGGGAGAGGCAAGCTGCAGTTCATGATTTGCACATAATGCTAACCAAATCATGGACAAAAGTTCAATGTATTGTTAGATGCAAGTGCGAAGAAAAATCCACCTTTTTAAACAATGTGAAGTGCAAACTGGGCCACTGATAGGTGTGAAATTGTGTGTGAAATGACATATTTAGCTGTTTTTAAGAAAGAGTAAAACATCCTGACTCGCCAAATGAACAAGAAGGAGTCTAGAAAATACAATTTAAATGCAATACAAGGTTTATCCCCAAATTATGACCTGAGATGCATGACATGAGAGTAGATTGCATGTTGGCTTATTTAGCCTTTCCAGGTGCAGGTTATTGTGACGCACAGACTCTGCAAGGGTAGGTGGCTAACCAATCACACAGCAGCCTGATGGTGGTTTCATGTGATCATGGAAAGAAAATGTACCACCATGGCTTATTCCTTCCCCTGCCTCACATGCCAGTTGTGAGACACTAATTAGTAGAATTACCTTGCTGGACGTATGTTGCCATGAGGTTCCAAAGTGGCGAGGGTCTGTTCCTGTGGTGGTTTACAAACCATTGTGAAACTCATGGCTTGTTCTGGGGTTTCAGAATGGATTGTAAGCCATCTCAGCCACCCACTCTTACCAGATTTGGATTTCATATCAAGTCTGAGTCAGGTTCTCACAATCACAAAAGAAAATCAGCTCCTGTTGCTTATTTGCTTCTTTGGTTATGTAAATATGGTCCAAGACTGCGTTCATAACACTATGGTCCATAACTCGATAAGCTGCAGTGGATTGTGAGCCTTGCTTGTGTTAGTGTTGCTCATCATGATGTCCAAACCAGGCATGGGACCTTCAGCATGGAACATGAACCCTTCACAAGCCACTCTGAGAACACATGGGTTGTTGTGATGGATGAAGTCAGCAGCATGGCCTGTCAGTTGTAGGGGTGTGCCGTACCTCTCTGGAAACCAGTTTATACCTGCCAGTCAGATTTCTTCCAGTGCTCATCCCTGTTTAAGGAAGCGAGCCAAGCCCAGAAGTCTACAAGTGTTCGTGGAGCCCTTGTTGCACAGGTGGTCTTTTCCCCCAGCCTCCTTTCCCAATGGTCAACTTTCCCTGCATGTTGCTGCTGGCAGCAGTGGTGGACTTGATACCTGGCATGCACCCTGTGAACTCTGGATGTGCTGTCTAGGAACTTGGACTCTGGGCTGCTGCAAACTGGGCCAGAGTGCAGGAAGCCAAAAACCAAGGAATCCAGGGGATTTTCTGCCCAAAAGCAAGAGCATTGAAAAGCCCAGCTTCTCGTGATCTTGCTGGTGCTGCTTCCAGTTTCTGTCTTTCTTCATCAGTAATGTTCACCCCTCCAGCAGTATGGACATGGTTTTCTTTTCTGGTGCTTCTCAAGTGTGCAAGTGGGTTCATCTTTTTCATACTTCTTCCCGTTAGTCATTTGCATGATTTACCTGTCTGTTATGTACTGTTTGCAGTAGTGCAGTCAATCATAAATTGCTTCCATTGACTTTGGGAAAGTGTTGGGGAAGTACTAAGGAAATTGATAGAATGACTGTACTACTGCAGACTGTACATAAAGGAGAGATGAATCCACGCGCTTCTGAACTTGTAGAGGGCTAGTGAAAATGATAATAATTAAAAAATTACAAACCCCTTTCCCACTTGAGAATCATCTAAAACCAAACAAATTTGTGACAGAAATGGTTGCTCTGCAAAGGAGTTGTGATTGGGACTGGGCGGTAGCCAATACATTCACACTTACCAATTTCATGCTCCAGTATTTCGTAAACTGACACTTGTTAGCTTGCTTCCCGCTTTGGCACTTCCCTTGACCCCGGTTTTCAAAAGTGGAGATGGAACAGGATGGAGCTATGGGGCAGGTGTAATCGCTTTTGTAGCAACTGTGCTTGCCTGCCCCAATCCCATTCAGCCACTGCTTTCAGCACTCAGGCTCAAGGAAAAGTGCTAAAGAGCTGGAGTGGGGGATTGACAAGTGCCATTGAGTACATTGAGCAGATGAAATTGACAGGTGGAATTTCAACATAGGCTAAGGATTTCAGATAGGGTATGGATCTGTACTGCTGCAGAAAGTACTTAGCAGACAGGCAAATAAGTGCAACGGTGTAATTATGAGTGGTAGAAAGATACAATAAAAATTTGAAGCCATTTTTGTACTTCTTGTGCACAAAAGGGAAAAATGGTGCAAATGGAGGAGTGGAAGTGATCAGAGCAGTTGTCAGAGCAGAGCAGCAGAAGCTGATGTTTCCTTGTCCCTTCCAGAACACCTCTTCCTTTGCATCCTAGCATGATTTGTAATGCTTTTCTTTGATCAGCCTCTCAGTATTGCTTTCTATGTATAAAATATAATCAATGAAACAACGTAATGGTGCATTCCAACTAGCTGATCCTCTGGATAGTTTGGATTTTCTTTCCATCAAAAATCTGCCTAGATAATAACAACAAAATCACCAAAGCCAAATTCTAGTCAAACTTTTATTGCTATCCTCAGAGTCCAGTTTTTACTTTTTAAAAATTATCCAGAATCATTGCATTGATATATATGCTACTGAAAGCATCATGAATTGAATGATTTTCTAGGGTGCTATATGCATTCAACCTTGATGTCAAAATAATTTATAACTACTCAGGAACCTGAGCACTTCTTCTGTGGTTTTTTAAAAAATATTTCTTTATTGAATATTGTTTTGATATGAATAGTAACAGATATTTTCTAAATATGTCTTAGCCGGTCACAGAGAATGAATGCATACAGTATATTTGCTTAGATGGACAACTAATCCAAGTTAACAAATCACAAAACTGTCCGTACAATGCAAAGCAACCCAGCTGTGGATTTCTTGGATTTGCTGTTCAGGTTAATGGAGATAAATGCTGCCCAAAATGGCAATGTGCATGTAAGTCTTACCATATTTATTTTAGATTACTAGTAGGTCAGTGGACGTTTGTGAGCCTCCTAACATTTACTAACATTGTTTGTGAACAAGCAAAACATTTTCTGTTACAGATACAGGTAGAAGAACATATTTGAATGTTATCAGTTGCTTAATTGCCATTGATATGAAATATTTGGAAATTATTTATTTACTTAAAGCTTTTATATAGTGTCCAACTACTAGCCTCTCATGAAAAGGAATAAGCATCATCCTATAATGGGACTGGGTACCTCAGTGAAGTAATAAAGTACTAACTGTAACCCTAAACCAAATGATCAAATAAGTTTTGTGAGATGAAGAATTCAGAAGAGAATCAGTGATCTATTACAAGAAAGATTTATCTTCAAGGACAAGTGATAGATTTAACTGCTTTGTTGGACAGTTTTCCAGCCATAGAAAATGGATCCCTTAAAGCCTATATAAACAAAAATGGCAGAAAGATCCTTTTCCAATTTGTAGAGGCTTTGCATAACATAATGGAATGGATCCAGAGTCTCCGTGAGTGATATTCTGCTCATGGAATCCTCCCCTTGGAGGAAGTGGGTAAGTGATTTTTTTTCTGAAACCCCTTCCTTCCTCCTTGAAAGACTGGTGGAGAGCCAGAACATGCTTTCTAAAACAGTATGGGAGGTGGCACAAGATGCTACAAGGGGAAAGGAAAACTGGCAATAATTTCTTCTCCTCCTCTCTTGATTGTGAACTTCTGCTGGAGCTGAGTCCTTCTGTGAATGGAATGAGGCCTTCATTTTGGAAAGGACAACTCTGGATCCAACCTATTGTGGTCTCAGGCTAAAGGATACATAAAATGAAAGAATATATAAAAACACAAAAATAGTAGAATCAAGAAGCATAACAAGGCATGCTTATAAGCCTCTGCAGCTCTCATGTAGGGTTTGTAGAACAATTCAACAAAATACACACAGACAAACCTTTGAACATCATAGTGTTCAGGCACTAACACGGATCTGTCTTTTACATAATGACAGAAACTTGAATCTCAGAAACCATGAAGCTATGAACTAACATGTTAATAGGTTATCTGTTTAAAAGTTAAGGATCCCTACCTTACTTAATGGATCCAAACAAGTTTATTTTAAAAATAAATGACATTTCATTCATAGTACTTTGTCAACAGATTTTCAGCAGATGTCCTTATTTTGTTTGAACAGGTCGATGTACACTTTTTTCTGATCTGAGTTTGATCACCTTTGATGGGCACCACTTGACATTATTTAAAGAAGCATCCTATGTTATCAGTCAAACTCAAGATGAAACTATAAGTATCTATGTTACTGACTGCAGCAATTTTCATACAGTAGGTATTTTTGTAGGTTTTTATAGAGTATATCAAGGACCTAAACAACCATAATTTTCTGCTGCATATAATGGTATTCGGTTTCTGCTGCATATGCTGACACCCTGTGGCATGCACTCATTGTTCGATTAAGAACATTGTTTTCTTTCTTCTTCTGTACACATTTATTTATTTATTTTGTTTATTTAAAACATTTTTATGCCACCCCCATCGCAACGAAGCCTCAGGGCGGCTCACAACAGAAACAAATGCATAAATACACAAATAATAACAATATAACAATTAAAAAATATTTAAAACCCCAGTGCATCTCGGCTAAAAATTTAAAATCCTATAAATACAAATAATTTAACAATTAAAATAAGTTTTAAATAAAAAGGTCTTAGCCTGGTGCCGAAAAACAACGATGGCACCAGGCGGACCCCTCTGAGGAGCTCATTCCATAGATGGGGCGCCACTGCAGAGAAAGCCCTCTTCTGGGTACTCACCCTCCTAATATTCACAGAGGGTTCCCGGAGAAGGGCATCTGTTGCTGATCTCAAGGGGCGGGAGGGCATATATGGATGCAAGCGTTCCTTTAGATATTCAGGTCCCATGCCATTAAATGTTACTTCCAGTTAATTCATGCATTATGTAGCTGACTGTATAGCTCTCTCATCCTAACCAAGAGCTATAGAAAACATGGAGGCAGGAGTTGCTCAGGTTTGAATTTCCTGGCTTGTTGATATTTAAATAACTCTTTCCACATATTCTAAAAAATGGGCTTTTTTGAACAGGTTATCCTGATAAGTTGCAATTGGGATATGAAGCTTATGTAATAATGTACTGCTTGTTACTGCATAACTTTATCTAGCGGTGTTATGAAAGTCACTGAACCATAGAGTAAGTATCTGTGGGTTTTTCCCCCTCATTCAGGGCACTTTAACCTCTACGAAGCTGTGTCTGACTATGTTGAATTTAACATATCTATCTAACCAGATTATAATTGACCGCTTAAACAGGAAGGTAAAGTTCTTTTTTTTTTTTTACAAAATAATCATTCTGATTCATGTTTCTTCTAAATGTATAACAATTACATGGATGAAACTATTCAGCATTGTAACTCTAGTAATCTACATTTCAAGTGGTTATAATTGGTATGTTTCAGCAAGAGAATACATCTCAACAGCCTTTATTATTTACACTCTGAGCATGCGGTAAAAGTTATATGAACAGGATTTTCTTAACTAATCCAAGTAATACTTAAAGTAGTACTGATCTGATATGGCTACAATGCTCTACATACTAACCTGGAATAAAGTCTTACTCAATTCAGTGTGACTTCTGAAAAGGAATGTATAGGTTTGCACAGTAATTTGTAATCACTGCTGAAATACATTTTACATACTTTCCAGCCTGCTTCATTACTAGGTAGCATCTTCCCAGTGGTACCACAGATTTCCAAGGTCCAGTCGACCGTGCTTTTGGCATCTGGCCTTTAATATTGTAGTCCCCACTCTCTGGAACACTGTTCAGCTACTAATTAGGCAGGCACCAGCCCTTCTGGTTTTTCATTGCCTTTTTAAAGTAATGTTGTTCCAACAGACATTCCCAGGAAGATAATTCTGTCCTCCACATATGAAGACTGACTTTTTGTACATTGTTTAGAAATTCCTTTAATGTAAGTGATTCATAAATAATAAATGGATGATTGGATGATCGGTCTGTTATTATTGATAGTACATACCTAAAGCTTCACTTACCCATTTTAAGAAATAGATGCTGTATGCAATAGCTATGAATCACTGTAAAATTAATATTAAGAGAAATTGACAAATTTGGGCAAGCAGTCTGAGCTTTAGTGAAGAGTACTGAGAAAAGAAAGCATTTGTCATTTTAAGCATGATATAATCTTTGTACATATGTTCTTCATTTTTGCTATTAGAGCCCATCTAGAATTGAAAGTTGGTTGTACTGGCAAAAATAAATATGTCAGTCTTATTAGATTATTTACATATATTAAAAATTCTAAATTACAGTGTTCAGTTTTTTATTATATTCTCCCAGTTTTGACACATTTTCAGTTTTTTCCTTTCTGTGTTTCAAACAAAGTGGATTTTTAAAGAGGATATTCTTGTCATGCTATAAAAAGTCTTCTGAGAAGGTTGACTGATGTTGCTTTAAACAAAAGCAGATAATTATTTGGTCCGTGTCTTGAATACAATACCATACCTGTATAACTGTGTCCCAACCAAAATGCAGCTCATGTATTGACTGCCCTCTTCCCTTGCTTTTACTATCCAACTGAGATTGCAGAATAAGGATATTGGTCAAGCACCTGATAAGAGCTGTACGCAGTTTGTGCAGTTCTGCATTAGACCGCTCTAAATTAAAGTTACCCATTCAATTTGCATTGTCAGTATTTTGCACAGAAATAGATATGGTAGAAACATAATTTCTAATGTATAAATGTTATATTTGCTTAAATATGTTTCTATATTTTCTAGATAGCTGTCAACTCAAGACATGCATGGCCTACTATTAGAAAATATGGATTTAAAATTGAGGATACTGGCTTCATGTATAATATTGAAACCCCAGCTAATAATAGGATTCAGTGGTTTCACACCTCTGGTGTGATGATAATAGAACCAAATGCAACCAGTGATCTAAAAGTAATGGGAATGTGTGGTAAGCAAACTTTAATACGATTGTGATGCTATGTTTGCTGTAGGGGAAATGTGTCTAACATTTACTTGTTAATAAAAATATTAGGAAATACACTGTTAGAAAAAAATAGTTTCAGTAGTCCCAAAATCATAATAATTATTCCTGAGACTTCTGCTATATTAATGGCTGAAATGATGTGGATGATTCCAAAACAAGAAAAATGCTAAATTTGCCAACCAAATGATCTGCAGTCCAAATTTTAATCCCTCTGAGATCATATTGCAGATAGGCATGGATGAGTGAAGATTTGCTTCCAGATTTAGAGCATTTGAAGCAGAGGCATGAATGCTGAAGTAATGTGAAAATAAATAGGACAGGAATAAGCAGAAAATGTACCTTACATTAAACTTTCCACTAAGTCAAGTAAGGTCATTTAGGTTTGCCATGAGCTGCTCTGTGTTAGCATGGAACCCACGAAACACAATGCAATTTAAGTGTTGCTCTAATTGTTGATCATTAGTGGAATTTCAGTTAGATGGCAAAATCCAATACCCACAACTCACAATTTATACAGGTCAGTTGCTTTTTTGTATTGGCTGCCCTCCGCTTGGTTTACCTAACTGTTCTTGCTGGGCACAGCTTGTTGCAACATCCAGACCCAGTAAGGCTAAGGTTATTAAATTACTCAGAAGAATCCATCGTTTGTTCTAGAGTCACTTGTTTACTCCTTCAGCCAATCACCTTCACTGGGTTCAGACATCACAACAAACTGTGCCTGGCAGGGATAATTAGGAAATGGGACAGCACGTGAGCATCTCATGTCATGGGAAGCTACTCATTGTTGAAGGGAATTGGGCATTTATCTCTTTTACTTCACCTGAGGTCAAAGCTGAAACACGGGCTTTTTTTCTTACTAACAATCGGCATAATGGCCAGTCTTGGCGAGTATTCAAGGACAGCATATTACCAGATTCCTTCTTCACCTCTATTACCTGAAGTCCTTTTGACTAGAGAAGCCTATAGTCAAGTCTGGAACTGTGCAGCAGGCAAACAAGTACACAGCCCAGATGTTGCCATGCGACCTCTCTGATAAGTACATAAGGGAATAGAATGTCTGGGGTTTATTCCCCTGAACTGTGGAATTCTCGCATGTCCTCCATGGTCATTATATTTGTTTGTATTTTCTGGTGCAGTGATACTTTATTATGTTTCTTTACCTCCACATAGCTGAAGCTTGCCATTACATGGCAATTAAAACTGTGAAATGCAACAGTAAAAGGTACATTACAAGTGTTTCCAATTTTAAAACTAGTATGAAATAAAAACAAAAATCTTAGCAACAATGCAGAGATTTATAACACAGTAAGATTTAAACCAGAAATTGAAAGGCTAAAATACACATGTCTCTGGTGACAATGCTGGATCCCAGAGCACACACAACCTAAAACCTGATCCTTTAGGTGAATTTCAGAACAGTTTGGATGTTACTTAGGCACACAGATGAAGTGTGTACTAGTAGTACTTCCAACTTGTCCAGACTGCATCTCAGTTTACTGGGCCCTCACCCAGTCTATGGCACTCAGTGCTAGGCACTGATTCAGAACAGCCGTTACCTCTCCTGGATTTAATGAAAAGGAGCAATAAAGCTGGGTGCTATCTGTATGTTGATGACACCTCAGTACACATCTCCCTCAGGAAGAAGGGTAAAATACAGCCCTGTGGGACCCCAGCACATTGCTGCCAAGTCACAGAGAAATAATCTCCTAGCACCACCTTCTGGAGTCTGCCATCCAATGCAATGCAGTGTCACCAGCTGCCCATAGGGATACTATAGTTGATGGTATCAAGAACCACCAAGAGGTCCAAAAGAGACAGCAGGGCTGCACTTTCTCTGATCCTTTCTCACCCGAGATTATCCCATGCATGACCAAGGCCATTTCTGTTCCATTTTTTACTGAGAATTAATCTAAATTGTACAATTAGTCCAGAGATGAGAGTTATTTATTTATTTATTTATTTAAACATTTTTATGCCGCCCCATTCGCCGAAGCCTCGGGGCGGCTTACAACAATAAATTAAAATAATTATAATCTTAAATTAAAAAAATATAAACATTAAATTAAAAATACAAAAATACAGTATAGAATAAGCCACCCTGGCCAGATAAAATCCAATAATATTAACAGTTAAAATGCCGCTTAAATAAAAAGGTCTTCGCCTGGCGCTGGAAAACGACGGCGCCAGGCAGACCTCTCTGGGGAGCGCATTCCATAACTTAGGCGCCACCGCGGAGAAAGCCCTCCTCCGAGTACCCACCCTCC